GAATAAAAAGCATGCTTAAAATAATTCACTTTACATTTATTTTGGGTTGATAACATTTCAGTTTTAACTTTATTCCATATTAGGACTTGGATAGCCAAGGTCCAGGGTACCCCAGAATATCTAAGCTTCACAATGGTTCTAATCCAAGGAAAGGATATGAAATGCAAACACAGACTTATGCACAAATACTTTCACAAAAGCATTATTTATAGTGGCAAGAATCTGGCTGGCTCAAATGTCCAAATATTAATCAAATTATCACAGTTAACATAGATTACAACATTGCCACTACAAACATTTCAATTATTTAATGATACAGAAAAAAATGTTTGTTTAATAGTAAGAAAAAAAAGGTAGACTATATGATTAAAGGAATAATATGAACTTTTTACGTTTCCTGCAATTTCCCCAAGGGAGATGAATTGCTTTTATAATTTTTTAAAAAGTTAAAAAAAAAACACATATCCTAATAGTACTGTACTTTGACCAATGCCCTGACCGGGTATCTCAGTTGGTTGGAGCATCCTCCTGATTGGCCAAGATTTCAGGTTACATCCGGTGAGGGCACTTAGAGGAATCAACCAATGGATGCGACAATGATTAAGTGGAACAACAAGTTGCTGTTTCTTTCTCTCTAAAAATCAATAAAGCCCTGGCCAGTGTGGCTCAGCTGGTTGAGGAACCCCCCATGCATCAAAGGGTCTCCGCTGGATGATTCCCCTCAGAGCACATGTCCAGATTTTGGGCTAGACCCCCAGTAGGGTGTATGCAGGCAGAAGCCCATGGATATCTTTCTCACATCCATATTTCTCTCTCCCCCTTTCCCTTCCTCTCTTTCTAAAAATCAATAAAAACATTTTTAAAAAATTTAAAAAGCAATAAAAATATATCCTCTGGTGAGGATTAAAAGTAGTATTTTATTTAAAGTAATTCAGAATCTAGAAAACTGAATTTCTGCCCTGATGCTGCAACCAAGTAGCTACTTACTTGAGCCTGAGATTTTGCCCCTATTGAGAATGTTGGAGGCAGTTCTACCAATGCTTTGGGAAGAAAAAAAGATCAAGTAGATAGAAGAAGCAGTATTATCTTTGCAACAAGCCTCATATGAATCAATTTAGGAAGTAACCGACAAGAAAAACATCTAATTAAATGTAGGTTATTATATATTTTAAATTTACTTTTACAGTACTCACATTTATTTTTAATCTATTCCAGGAGGAGTAAACTCTCCTAAAACCAAGGTAAAATTACCGACCTTTATAATACTTTCACATAAGGAATTAAAGAAGAAAATCACTCGAGTCTAATCATGACTCCGCAGGGCCAGAACCTGTGGGGCGCAGATGCTGGGGGTTACGGGTGGGAATAAAGACCACTGCGTGAACTAGTTTCAAGTGAAGTGCCCAGTAACATCGCTGCCCTTACTAAGAAAACAAGGATTTAATATTTTAGTGTTTGGAAAGTCAAACTTTGACATTATACAATTATGTCCAGTGACCATAAAACAAAACAAAACAAAAAAAAACGTTCCTAGCTTTTACGTAAATACCCCAACCATTTTAAATCACAGCTTACAAGTGTCAGATATAAAAAGAGTAGGTTGTTAAGGCAAACTACAGCCAAATAAGACAGTAAGAGTATACGCTCCTTAAATCTGGGAAGGGCGAAGTTTACAAAATGAACCGCTAGGAGGAATAATTATCCGCTGGGAGGGAGATTTGGATCCGCGCAGAACTCGCAAGAACTGGTTGCGAGTGGCAGCATGTCCACGTAATGAATTTGCAGTTTTGCTCTGCACAGGCTGTAGTTTGCAAGAACCCTGTGGGAATGATCACCGGTGCCGAGACAATCTGAAGACGCCAGGATGTGCACCACCTGACTGCAGGACCGATCCGAGCAGGCACCTGAGGACTGCAGAACAAGCAGGGCGTCCTCAGCACCTGGCCAGCCCGCTCCACAGCGGCAGCGGCGGAATCCCTCCCTGAGAGGGCTAGGGCAAGGCGACCCAATTAAAGAGCACTCAGAGGATGGCGGGGGGAGACTAACCACAAACCTCCTCACCTCCACGCTCTGTTCATCCATTGCCTCCAGCTCTCGGCGGGGCCTTCGGCGACCCGCGGAGTCCGTGGTCTGACCTATTAGGCACCGACCCGAGGTCGCCAGTTCAAATTGCCGCGGAGACCAACCCGGCGCCCACGTCAGGAAGCGCCAACGACCGCCCCACTTGCGCGCCCCATCACTTCGGGTTCGGCGCCAGCTACCCCCACTTCGCCATTTTTATCCGCGTGCCGGCCGTAAGGCGCAGTGGGAACGAAAGGTGACCACAAATCCTTCCTCCCAGAGCAGCCCCACGCCGGGGACCGCGAGGCAACCTTGATCCACGTCACGCGGACCGGCGCGCGGGCGGGCGGGCGCGCGCGCGTATCAAACCGCGGCTGAAGTCCGGCGCCTCAGGTCTTCAAAGAAGGCGCTGCAGGGGACTCACAAACACCAACGGTAACCAGGGCAGCTGGAGGCGCGGCGGCGCAGAAAGACGCCGGCGCGCATGCGCGCAGGACGGCGCGTTAGGGGAGTGGAGCTGAGAGGCGGGCACGTAGTTCCCGCGGTGCGGAGGCGCACACGAGATTTGGCGGTTCGATACTACTGGGTTGCGTGCTTTCGACCCCTGGATTATGCAGACTTTGGCAGAGCCCCGCCTCTCCTGGAGAGGGGCGTTACCCCACCTCTCAAACTTCCGCGCCAAAGAGCGGATCCCCTGGAGTAATAGTGAAAAACGCCAACTGCAGAGCCACACCCCTAGGGATTCGGACGTCGTGATTCTGGAGTTGGGCCCCACCAAATCTGCGTTTTCAACAATTTCTCTCCGTGATTTTGGCTGCAGGTGGTGTATGGCCCGCCCTTTGCGAAACCGTGGTGCAGAAGCTTCCTGGCTAATGGTTTTTTCTCTGAGAGGACGCCCAGAGCCTCAGGTTTTTAATCCACCTATCGAAGAGAGTTCCAGACCGTGAAACCTAGATCGGTGTAGCTTGTCATTTCGGGGGTGGGAGAATGGGACCTCAGATTGTTTAGACGTAAGAACACATCACACTGTGCATTTCTTGCCTCTTGAGGTTCGCTGTCGCCATGAAATTAGACAAAGTGCAAAAGGTGTCAGCTGTATACAGCTTTCCTATATTGGCAGCCACTTTCTGCAATTCTATAGCATGGATGTTTAAATAATGTAGGAATTGGCCCTGGCCGGTTTGGCTCAGAGGTTAGAGCGTCATCCCACAGACCAGAGTCCCGGAGTTCAGTTCTGCTAAGGGCATGTACCTTGGTTGCGGTTTGTCCGTGGCCCAATTGAGGTTGTGTGAGTGGCAACCAGTCCACACATAGATGTCCGTGTGTGTCGCCCCCCACCCCCCCGCTCTATCTGAAGATAAATGCAAAAAATGTCCTAGGGTGAGGATTAAAAAAAAGTAAAGATTGTGGGAATTGAATGTGTGAGACAAAGGGCATGCATCAAATTCTTAATATGAATTTTTTTCTTTCTGTTTTGTTGCAAACAGCTGTTACACTTAGCCCAACCTGGAATTCATGTGTAAAAAAATCAACAATGACCTAGAAAGTTCTTGAATATTAAAGCATTTGGACTTACAAGTAGTGGGCAACAGCAATTTTTTTAAAACTACGTGGACAAAGATAATTTAGAAAGATTAATGTGTGACTGAAAAATTCTTACACCAAAAATTATTTATGTGCAGGAACTACCTTAATATTAATTGCCTGAGTACTAGAAGAAAATTAATATCTGTCACTAAGGTATAACTTATTTTTCTGTAATTTAAAAAGGAGGAGGGGCTTTTTAACTGCAGCTACTCTCCTAACCCTGTTTGCCACTATTGTAAGTAAGTAGGCCAATGGAAAAATACATGCTCATAACAGAAATTTAAAAAATTATATTGAAGTATAATTCTATAACCCGCAGACCTAACATTTGATGCCTTTCTTATTACATATATGGAAATATAATTTATTGAAGGACTACTAGATATCCTTCAATATCCTTCAAAACCAAACAGCATTTCATTGTGCTTCCAAACATCCAGGCACATAGAAGTTAAGTAATTTGCTCAGGGTCATGTATCTTAGATACGACGTCAAAGCCCAAAATTAACTTCAAAACTGCAATATCTACTTCCACTCCCCCATTCAGCATTTCCCAAACATTAATGGTAGTAATTTGTAGGCAACTCTGACCTCTTATTGCACAGATAGATACATCATGATTTACTCTCCTATTTACCTGCTATTAGCAGATGTGTATGTATTGCTATTATAAATAATCCTGTGATTGACCTTGGTATCAAGATTTGTCCCTACTTTGGACAATAACCTTATTGTCAAGTTATTTAAAAATAAATAGGGAAATACATACAACACACTCAAAACCGGCAAGCTGCAGTTGCCAGTCAGTGCTCTTCTGTTTTCAATTTCTCAGCTTTCATACAGAATAAACAATTACAGTTATATAGGCTGAAGGAGAACAAAGGTCGTATTGAAATACTACAGGGACAGCCTAAAACAGCATTTGAAAGCAGAACTCATGCTGCTCAACACTGTCAAGCAGAAGGAATAGGACAATAATAAAAGTGAGGCTGTCACAGAAAAGCCAACTTATTACACAAGTTAGGTTTTATGGGAGACTATAGGTCACATCAGTCTCACCCATAATTGATCACATCTGCAATCAAAAATTTCAAAACCCAAATTCTATACATATAACATATAATGTATAATATAATACAAATATTTTCTTCTATCTTTTAATTTCCAAAACATACTCATTCACATTTGACTGACAGTACATAAACATTCTTTTACGATAGGTCAGGACACCTGTGTTATCTTGGTTATACAAAAACAGATGCAAAATAGTGTTAAAACTTTCTTACCTGACACTGCAAAACTAAGTGTGTGTGCATATAATGTTTAAATCCCTTTATTTCCATTTCATCCTTTTGACTGAAATGTATTCATATCTGCCCTTCTTATAGTCCCCTCTCTTGTGAAAAGCATCACTATCTAGTCACCCAGGCCAAATCTTCTCCTTCACCTACCCTACCTCTAGTTACCAAGTGCTAATAAGACATCTTCCTAAATCTCTCTGGAATTGATCTCTTCTCTATTAGAGTTCCCTTTTGCAAGTCCATTTCTTCATAAGTCTGACAAGTGAGATTTTAATTGCTGTATTGCCATTTTTTCTTCTTCGGTCATTGGTGAAAGCTAGAAAACAAATGACAAAATCTTTAAAAAAACCATTAAAGGCTTCAACTCTACTTTTAATTTTAAAAACACACCTTTAAAGACAGTTAATTGAGTTAACTTTTCTTTTTATCACACCAATAAATGTAAGCTCATACCATGTATATGATCACAAATTTAGGAAAGCAAGGGAAAAAAAAGATTATTTGGCTATCTATATACAAAGTACTTTGATGTTCAAGCTTCCAAAGAACTTGCAATTAAGTTGAAGAAATAAGACCAAGACATCAAACAGTTTAAGGACTATAATTGAACAGGACCAAAGAAGTCAAGTTTGAATGCCATATGGTAAAAGTATTTTGATAAAGAAATGTGAACAAAAATAAAGTTTCCTCAGGAGTAGAAACTAGGGCTAAATTTTGAAGGATAATTAAGATGCTTTTAGCTGCAAGTAAAAGAAACATTTCAAATTGGATAAATAATAAGAAAAGTCATTATCACTGCAAAATAAATACAGAAGGGCAGACTTCAGGACTGGTTTATTCAGCAGCTCAAGAATATGAGGACTGCCCTGGCTGGTTTTCTCAGTGGTTAGAGCATCAGGCAGGGGACCAAAGGGTCGCAGGTTTGATTCTGGTCCAGGGCATGTACCTTGGTTGCAGTTTTGTCCCAGACCCCGTCGGGGTCATGCGGGAGAAACAACCAATGGATGTTTCTCTTTCACATCGATGTTTCTATCTCTCAAAATAGGATCTCTCTATACTGTCTCACACCCATTTAGATGGCCGGTATGTGGAGAAATAGGGACTGATATGCATTGTTGGCGGGATTGTAAAGTGGTAAGACACTGTGGAAAACAGTTTGGCAGTTCCTCAAAAAATTTAAAAATAGAACCTACCATAGCAGCATTATTTGCTAATGCAATGGTAGAGGCCACTCAAATGTGCATTAACAGATAAACAAAAACAACAAAAAAGGAATACGAGGATTTATTTTTTCCCATCTCACAGCTCTGATATCTTTGATGGTGGCTTTATTGTAAAGCTGACAGAAAGCAGATCTAGCAATACTAGGCATCACATCTATACAAAATGTTAAGAAGAAAGTTTTCCTAAGGCTCGCTCAGCAGTGAGGAAACTCTTACTCATTTCCTACTTCCAGACTTCCCCTCCTCACATGTCACTTGGGTCACAAACCCATTCCTGAATCAAGTTTAGTTAAAGGAAAATCCATTCCTCTTGCCAATCAAGCACACACTGAAGCTGAGGATAGTGCCAACTGCTTTTACCTCAGGCATGAGGCTGTGAGGGACAGCACATATCTCAAGAAAATCAGTACTCTGTAAGGCAGGAAGGGAGAACAGATGGTGAGAAAACAACCAGCAAGCAGTATCCACAAAAGCAGGTAGGAGCAAAGCAAAGGGAAGAAGAGAAGCCAAGGGGAACTTGTAAAGGATTTTCACAGAGCACCAGCAAACAAAGTGTTATCTGGGGAAATAATAGGGGGTAGAACCTAAAGAATCACTCAAATAGTTACAAGTCTGCCTAACTATATATAGTGGTCCCAAGATATGTTCCAAGACCCCAATGGATGCCTGAAATTGGAGATAGTTCTGAATCCTATATATGCTATGGTTTTTCCTATACATATATACCTATGATAAAGCTTAATTTATAAATAGGCTTAGTAAGAGATTAACAATAACCAATAATGAAATAGAACAATGATAACAATATGCTGTAATAAAAGTTCTGTGAATGTGGTCCCTCTCAAAGTATCTTCTTATACTGGACTCACCCTTTCATTTAAAGGAAGCACTTTGCTAATGACTTCTCTTTGGCATATCTGAATTGCCAGCGTCACTACTCTTGCATTAAGTAAAATAAGGGTGATCTGAACACAAGCACTGCACTCCTGAGACAGCTGCTAAGTGACTAACGGGTGGGCAGGTAGCAGGCATGGGTATGCTGGACAAAGGGATGATCTCCATCCCTGGGCAAAATGGAGCCAGGACTGCTTGAAATTTCATCATGCTAGTCAGAACAGCTTAAAATTAAAAACTTATGAATTGTTTATTTGTGGAATTTCCCATTTGATATTTTTGGACCACGGGTAACTGAAACTGGGGAAAGCAAACTGCAGATAAGGGGGCTACTCTAGGTCATCTCTAGAGACACTGCCAAATCTTGAATATCCCATAATTACAGATTAGAATCTCAAGGGCAGTGCTGTCCTGTGGAATGTCTGTGATGCTTGAAATATTCTGTATCTGCACTGTCCAATCAGTAGATAAGAACTGAATTATTCATTTTATTTAATTACTTTAATCCTAATTTATATAGCCACAGTTGGCTATTGGATGGCCCAGCTGATCAAGCCAACATTTGCCCAAAATTCATATAGATTAAATGAAAAACAGTCATACACCTTAATGCAATGGAAATAGTTACATAATTTCCCTCTTCTATCTCAAAAACAGGAAATGATATTATTCTAGCAAGACTTTTTCCCACAAATCCATGTTGTTTTTTGTGATCACTGTTCACGAGATTTCAAACTATCTGTTTAATAAATCTTCAAAGAATTTTTCCAAGAATTAACCAGTCTAAGATTTGTAAATTTTTTTCTTCTTGAATGCAAATGTTTTGGAGCATCAGTGGAATACCACATAACTTTTAATGACTTTTTATTTTCTATTTATTGCTATTTTTTGTTTTCTTTTGTGGGGGTTGTTTTGCTATTTTTTATTTTAGTACAGGTTTAGTCTTTTTTTGTGTGTGTTTTGGGAGTTTTGTTTAAAATTAAGTATATTTAAATTTCAATGTCAATATTGACTAAAAAGATGAAATTAATATGTATTCCCTTCTACCTCTTCCATTCTTATCTCCCCGTTTATAATTTAATACTATCAACTCAAGTGCTCTTTTTGAATATTATCAATTCAAATATATTTTCTAACCTTCCAAATGAAAAAACACTTGTCTAGCCCTGGCCGGTTTGGCTCAGCGGTTAGAGCGTCAACCTGCGGTCCTGAGAGACCCGGGTTCGGTTCCTGCTAGGGGCGCGTGCCTCGGTTGCAGTTTGTCTCCGGCCCTGGTCGGTCGTGTGGGTGGCAGCCACTCAATGTGTTCCTTTCACATCGATGTTTCTCTCTTTCTCTCTCTCTCTGTTCCTCTCTCTCCCTCCCACTCTACCTGAACAAAAAAAATGGGAAAATGTCCTCGGGTGAGGATAAAACAAACAAACAAACAAATAAATAAATAAATAAGAAAAAAACACTTGTCTTGATAAAGATTATAGCAAGATAAAAACTGAACAATTTTTCTTTATGTTGTCTATAAACAAAAACATTTGCCTTAAGTAGACTTAGCCTTTCTTGTTCTTCATATTCCCCAAATAACTTTAAAGGCCCTTTTGGTTATTTTATTTTATTTTTTTTGGTACATGCCCCTAGTGGGAACTAAACCTGGGACTCGCTGGTCCGCAGGCCGACGCTCCACCCACTGAACCAAACTGCCTTTTGGTTATTTTAAATTTCAGAAGCCTCAGCTCACTTTAGTCTTTGGCTTTCTTAACTGTTAACACAGTTCTGTCCCTATCACTGATATACCTCTTTTTATACTTGAAATTCCTTTACAAGATTTCCTTTGCATGCCCTTTATCTTTTTTTTTTTCTTTATTGATTTTAGAGTGAGGGAGGGAGAGGGAGAGACAGAGAGATAGAAACATCGATGAGAGAGAACATTGATTGGCTGCCTCCTGCATGCCCCACACTGGGGATTTGGCCCACAACTTGGGAATGTGCCCTCACCGGAAATCGAACCGGTGACCTCTTGGTGCATGGGTCGACGCTCAACCACTGAGCCACACTGGCTGGGCTTGCATGTTCTTTAAACTCTGGGCTCATAGAACTGTTTTTTTTGTTATAAACTGTCTGCAGATGCCATTCCCTTTTCTTCCATATTTTGATTGCAAAAATTTTCTCCAAATTTTCTACTATCTTGTTTTTAAACTAGTAGGTACAAGACCCAGTTATCCAACATTTCCCAACTTGGCCATCATTGATTCTAAAATATGATCTACGGACCTGGAGAGTATTATGCTAAGTGAAATAAGCCAGTCAGAGAGAAAAAAAATATATATGATCTTTTTCAAGGTTTATAACTATCTTTCAGTAATTTCCCCTTATTTGTCATTACCTGGTCTAAAGTGAAACTCCCTTAGCTTTCTGCCTTTGACATAATTATTGCTTGTTTTAGATACTTCTTCTTTTAACTGAATAAAGCATGGAGGGACCTGGAGAGTATTATGCTAAGCGAAATAAGCCAGTTAGGGAAAGACAAGTATATTGATCTCACTTATATGTGGAATCTAATGAATAAAATAAACTGATGAATAAAATAGAAAAAAAGGCATGGAAACATGGAACAGACTGACGAATCTTAGAGGGAAGGGGGAGAGGGGCAGGAAGAGATTAACCAAAAAATTTATATGCATATATGCATAGCCCATGGACACAGATAATAGGGTGGTGAAGGCCTGGGGCACGGTGGGAACAGGGAGGAGGGCAATGGGGGAGATATCTGAATACTTAAAATAATAAAGATTTAAAAAAATAAAAAGACCTTTACAGATACTCAACTGATTGAAATCCCCTATCACTCTCTATTTTTCTGTACTACTTTATAATCTCAATCAGAACTATAACATCTATTTATTAGATCCAGTGGGGAGAATTTTTAGGAAATATTCAGAATACCATCTTTTCTTTGTTCACTCACCCAAATTTATTCTGTGCTTCAATAAATATATGGATTTCTATACATATATGTTCATATGTACAAACAGAACTACACTTAATCTCTCTTCGAGATTTATTTCCTTAGAATAAGTTTATGTGCTTCTATTGTCAGGCTCTGATCACATGCAATGAAGAATATATGACTTAACTTGTATTTATGAAAAGTTATCACTTACATACATTTTTTGCATTCTATATATTAGCATGTGACACCCTCCTTACTGTTTTTTTAATTTATTGATTTTAGAGAGAGAGGAAGGTGGAGAAAAAGAGAAAGACAGAGATATTGATTTGTTGTTCCACTCACTCATGCACTCACTGGCTGATTCTTGTATGTGCCCTGATCAGGGATCGAATCTGCAACCATGGGACATAGGGATGACACTCAAATCCATATATTTATTGGAGCTACCCAATTATGGCTACCCTTACTGTTTTAAATTCCCATTCCTTATAACCTCTGCGCCCTCCCCCTTTTTTTTTGTTAATCCTCATCTGAGGCTACTTTTCCATTGATTTTTAGATAGAATGGAAGGGAGAGGAGAGAGAGAGAAGAGAAATATCAATGTGAGAGACACACATTGATTGGTTGCCTCCTCACGACCCCAACCAGGGCAGGGGATCAAATCTGCAACCCAGGTACATGCCCTTGATCAGGAATTGAACCCACAATGCTCTAACTCCTTAGCCAAACCGGCCAGGGCCTCTATGCCCTTTTTAACTACTCTTTCCTCCTCCACTATTCATCTCCCCATAACGTAACAGAAACATCTAAGGTGTCATTTTATATTTTTAACCAGGTATTGTTTTTATTGGCAATATAAAGAATTCTTGATAAAATGGACCTGGGTAATCAACCTTTGAGGTTTACTCTGGCTACAAGCCCATAATTCAAGTATCTTAAGACATCTTTTAGTCCACAGTTGGCGAATAAATACCATGATGCTGCCTCTGGAAGCACACCCACAGCAGATAGCTTCTGTGATTTGCCCAGACCCAGTTCCTTAATACAACACTCTAAGCAGCTATTACCAGTTAATTGATTGTTGTTGGCACCTGAGATGAAAATGCATTGACCATCTTTTGTCCAGATTATTAGGTTCCATTCTATAATTCCTTCTACATATAGTCTGTCTTTTCTTCCAAAAGTTCCAAACTTTGCCTTAATAGTAAATGGGAAGACTACCAAATCCTTCAGTTGGTTATTCAAGATCTTAGTGTCTAGCAGCTCATATTCCTTTTTTTTTTTTTACTCCAACGGAAGTTTTACAAATCAGTGATAGAGGTTCACAATTATAAGGATTCTTACACTAAATGAGAAGGGGAGAGGAATGGGGAATGGAGGGGGAGAGGAAGGTTAGGCTTATCCAGGCCTGCCAATCCAATTAAAGGAATAGAGAACTAAAAAAAAAGTCAGTTATAGATGCTTTCTAGATTTTTCAGTCTCACTAGTTCTTATGGAACCAACAGAGTTGGTAGATTTAATAAGTTTTATCACCTTTTCTGCTATGGCTCCATAATCCAAGACACAATACCTCTTAATCAACTATGCTAAGTCTACACGCTCATTTTAAAATAAAAGGAAATCTCATTTCTATCAACAGTTCAAATGACTAATGAATTTTAAAATGAAAGCTACTGAGGATTTCTCTCTCAAAGCTACCGAGGGTTTATCTCTCAAAGCAACACTCAGAATAAAAACTATACAAATTCAACATGTCAACTCAAAGCATTACCTCCAGGTCTGTTTGCTTTTGTAGTTCTTGTATCACGGTCATAGTCTTATTGAAAGTAGCACAAATGCGGCTCTTGGTCTCTTTCTGCTCATCAGAAATTGGTTTAAAGCGTGCATGCAAAGTTTGATATCGAGTTTTTATTGCTGACAATTCCTGTAAGAGTGTAACTGGATTTTTCTACATCAGGAAAAAGAATAATATATATTAATTCATGGAAATACCAAATTAGCTTCTTTTAAGAGTAAAATATATACAGCATATTCTACCATCCATTTAATCAAACACTGAATATTTATTATGCAACTGTGTGACAAGGATGGATAAGGGGAAGCAAGAGCGAAGACCTAGATTATATTCTCAAGGAATGTAAAGCTGAGGTGCAGAAGTACAGCATAGGGAATATAGTCAATAATATTGTAATAACTATGTATGGTGTCAGGTGGTACTAGAATTATCAGGGGGATCACTTCATAAATTATGTAATTGTTTAACACCTGAAATGTTATACACCTGAAATTAATATAAAACACTGAAATGTCAACTATAATTGAAAAATAAATTTAAAAAAAACAACCCTATATACAGAAATAGCCCACACACAAAAAAGGCAACATGAAACAGCAAATAAGGTCACTTTAGATACATATTTGATGCATAGTTCACAACAATTAATTATATACTATTTCTAAAATACAATTCTAAATGCTATTTCAATGATTAAAGGAACTGTATTAATTTCTTGTTAAGAAAAAGACAACTTGAGGCTGGCTGGTGTGGCTCAGTGGTTGAGCATTAACCCATGCACCAAGAGTGATTGAGTGTCAACCCACGCACCAGGAGGTCACTAGTTCGATTCCTGGTCAGGGCACATGCCCAGCCAGGTTGTGGGCCAAATCCCCAGTGGGGGGCATGCAGGAGGCGGCCAATCGATGTTCTCTCTCAATGACGTTTCTATCTCTCTCTCCCTCTCCCTTCCTCTCTCTCTAACAGCGATTCTCAACCTGTGGGTCGCAGCCCCTTTGGGGGTTGAACAGCCCTTTCATAGGGGTTACCTAAGACATAACAGTAGCAAAATTACAGTTATGAAGTAACAACAAAAATAATTTTATGGTTGGGAGTCACCACAACACGAAGAACTGCACCACTGCAAATCAATAAAGAAAAAAAAAAGAGTAAGACAAAAGCACGTATACAATTCTTTTTTTTTTAATCCTCACCTGAGGATATTTTTCCATTTATTTTCAGACTGGGGTGGGGGGACACTAGTGTGAGAGAGACACAACTGAGGTAGATGCCCTTGACTGGAATCGAACCCGCGACACTTTGGTCCTTGGCTGACTCTCTAACCACTGAGAAAAACCAGCCAGGGCCACTTACACAATTCTTAAAACATACTGCCATGGGGATAATGTATAAATACTAATTCATTGACTTTACTATATATAACTCATGCCAACTCAAGCAACTATATTTATACATTACATTGGTTTTTCAAATTCTTTTTGGACTATAACCACTATTCCATAAAAGACATTTCATTTCAACTGGGTCCTTTCTGCCACTTGGTAATTCCTTTCATTCCCTGATGGTTCCTTAGCAAACCTTCCAATACTAGCTATTCTAGACTTTTTCCACTCCCTCCAATTTCCATCTACTCCTTCCTGCCATAAGACCTCAGAACTACTTGACTGAGAAGGCAGAAAACATCTAGTAGAAACTCCATCTTCCTGGCTTTTTATTTCAAAATGAAAACATCTATGGACATTCTCATCCATACTCAGCCCCCTAACACTACCACTATTATTGTTGTTTCCTCCCCATATCCTTCATTGCTTAAATTTCCTATTATTTCAATAACCTTTTCATTATTTGTAGAAACTTCAAATATATATATCTGTACACACACATACACACTCCTTCCTAATACTGAGGAGAAAATAAACTCCTTCTCTTGACTCTGTTGTCACTTTAAAACCAGTTTCATCTTTTTCATTCCATTTGCCACCAACCTTTTAGGTCCTATACTTCTTCAGTTTAACATACCCACAGACTAATATTTTTTGCCAAGTTATTTTAAACAATTTAAAGGCCAGACTTGCCCTATAGAATAATTTTGATAACCCTCTTCTTGCCTCTCTCTCTCTTTTTTTTTAATTGTCACCCGAGGATATTTTTTTTCCCACTTGTCTTCAGATAGAGTGGGAGGGAGAGAAAGAGAAAAACATCAGTGTGAGAGAGACACATCAATTGGTTGCCTCCGGCACGACTGAACCGCAACCGAGGTATGTGCCCTTGGCCAGAATTGAACTCATGACTCTTTGGTCTGTGGGCCAACACTCTAACCGCTGAGTCAAACCAGTCAGGGCTCTTCTTGCCTCTCTTTATTTCCTCTTGGTTCCAATCTTCTTAATATGAACTCTTGATTTCCATAAAACTATACCATCTTGGTTATCTTCCTACTCTTCAAATATCTCCTTCATGGCTTTAGGCAGAGGCTCAGTTTGTGGCCCTCTACTCCCCTCTTTCTTGGAGATTTCTCTCTAACCGTTTGATAATGGAAATGGTAAAAAAAGATGACTCCAACAGGAATGAATAAGAACAAAAACACTAGCTTAAAAACTGATAAAATAATTCTCCAGAAAGTGATCAAGACCTATGGCATGAGCATTACAAAGATGAGAGATGGAAAGTGGAGGAAAAGTGGGACCACCACATGAAATGCCGTCCACATAGTACTTGAAAGATATTAACTCAGACGAGGCCTTTGGAGAGTCTTTAGGTGGTACCACCGAACCAGAATTGGTTGTTGTTTGGTCAGAGAGAACAGAGGGGAAAAAAAACAAAAGCTAAATCAATTAAGGAGCTATAACAGTTCTAGTAAGCAGCTAGAATGTTCAGTAAAAACCAAACACACAATGCTTTCCCAATTGTATATAAAATCTTACTTTTTTCTTTTTAATCCTCACTCAAGGATATTTTTCCATTTATCTATAGATAAAGAGGGAGAGAGAGAGAGAGAAATGATTGATGTGAGAGAGACACATCGATTGGTTCCCTCCCACATGACCCTGACTGGGGCCAGGGACCGAACCACAACTGAAGTACATGCCCTTGGCCAGAATTGAACCCGCAACTCTTTGGTCTGCTGGCCAACACTCTAAACTGCTGAGCCAAATTGGCCAGGGCTATAAAATGTTACTTTAATTTGCACTTCCACTCAATCAAAAAAAATTTGAATTACATAAAAATTTTAAAAAATATTTTTAATAAGTTTTTATTAATTTTTTTGGAGAGAGAGGAGAGAGAGATAGAAACATCGATGTGAAAGAGAAACATCAATCGGCTGCCTCCTCTACACCCCCTACTGGTGATCGAGCCCGCAACCCAGGCATGTGCCCTGACCAGGAATCAAACCGGGACCTCTCAGTCCATGGGATAATGCTCAATCCACCAAGCCACACTGGCCAGGCTATAATATTTTTTTAAAAATTGTGAAATATGATATTTCTTATCTTCTGGTAGGTGCTACCAAAGATAAACATTAATAATTGAAGTAGTAAATTAATATTAACAGACAATGCTTAAAAACTGTTTGCTTTCATCTCCATGGGCATGTGTAGAAGTAGTTATGGCATATAAACAGAGTTAATATTTCTAAATCAACCTAAACTTAGAATAACTAAGTACATACATTTAAATAAAAATCACCATTCACATAACAAATTTAACAGTATATTATCATCATCTTTCAGAGACTATCATTACTGCCAGGATCTCTCCCCTCTTATTTAAGGACTAACCTACAGGTATCTATATTCTCTCTCAGTTTGAGAGGCTTCCACAATGATTCATATCTCCTGACTCAATAATTCTTGCTTATGGGTTAAAAAAAAAATAGCCACAAATTTCCTCGATTACAGGTACAACAGTATGCTCTAGAATGCTGTGACCAAGTTTCCAACATAAAAAGATTTTAAAATTCTATAAATTTAGTACTTAATACTGTGTTATAATCACTTATTAGAAAACCTATCAGAAAATCTTTTGATAAAATATTCTGTTAAAAAGACATTGATTTTACAGATTACCTCGCCTGCTGAAACAGGATGATTAGTCTTGATTTCATATTCCAGCCTGTATTGAATGTAATCCAGATCAGAGTCAGCTTTCTGGAACTAAAAATCAGCATAAATCATTATTTTATAAACCAAAAGACATATTAACAAACACGATACTGCAACTATTCTTTCTTTTCTATTTTTTAGTATTTTAATAATGTGATATACAATTCATTTTGAAAATATGGAAATAAAGTAGAAAAACCTCTATGGTTTATAATATGAAATTTAAAAAATTTTTAAACGAGTTCACATTTTGAAAATCATTTCTCTATGCATCTCTCGAGTAAAAACTAAAATGCCAAGAAGTCACTGTCCTATTTAATACAAGAACTAACAATGGCTTTAGGAATTCCCTAGGGTTGCTGACATTCTCATCAGTTAGGCAGTGGTTTTCTATCTCTGGTAGGAAATGTGTTTTCAAGTTAAAACACAGAATAAATTTATTTTCAGGGATACTTCAGAATTGTGGCACATGATGCCAAGAAACTCAGTGGCTTAAAAACAACATTTATTCTCAGTGATTTGACTAGGTTCAAGTGTTCTAGGCTAGGCTGAGTTTGGTGGCTCTGCTTCTCACTGCAGTTCTGTGTTGTCTTGTAGGACCTTGCTCCAGGTATCTGTCATCCTCCTTGAACAGGAAGATACTCTTTTCATAGAGACAGTAGAAGCACAAGAGGAAGCAGAAATACACAAGGCCTCTTAAGGCCCAAGTTCAGGACTGGCACACTGCCAGTTCCTACCCACATGCAACTGGCCAAAGCACATTTGGAAGTGAAATGTACTTTACCAGTGATGAAGTCATGACAAAGATGTGGGTACAAATTTAGGTTTCCCCCTGAAGTAGAGCATTTCTGAAACCTTTTTAGTAAACCAAAATGGGGTAAAGCAAAGAGTATCCCTCCTTGCCCTTTCTGAAAGTTTACATCACTTCACTTTCACAAAACCTACATTATTAGCACGGTAGGAGTTTTTTCACAAAAGGGACGATTCTCTTCAGATTTTTTTTTTTGTTGTTAGCAAAAACAAACTTCCAGTTTTAAAATAATCAAGTCCTGGAGATGTAATGTACAGCATGGTGGGTATAGCTATTAATGCTGTATTATATAGCCGAGCTGGCACGGCATAGTGGATTGAGTATGGTGCCATGTACCAAGAGGTTGCTGGTTCCATTCTGGTCAGGGCACATACCCAGGTTGCAGGCTCCATCCCCAGAAGCAGGGGGTATGCAGGGGGCAGCTGAACAATGTTTCTCTCTCGACCCCTCTCCCTTCCTCTCAATTAAAAAAAATACTTAAAAAAAATATACTGTATTATATATTTGAAAGTTGTCAAGAGAATAGATCTTAAAAGTTCTCATCAAGAAAAAATAGTTTCAACACTTTGTAAAGTATATGATTGTCTAATCACTAATCTGTGCACCTGAAACCAATATAAAATAACACTGAACGTAAACTTCAATTGAAAAATTAAGAAAGAAATTTTTTTAAAAAGAAAGAAATTGCCCGGGTGGTGTGGCCTGGCGCTTGATGGAGGCAACCAACCAATTGATGTTTCTCTCTCCTCTCCCTACTCCCGTCCCTCTCCCTTATTTTCTCTCTCTCCCTCCCTTCAAAAAAGAAAAGGAAGTTTCTAACTATGAGTGATGATGGATGTTATCTAGACTCATTGTCATTTCACAATATATACATATATGGAATCATTGTTGTATAACTGGAATAAAGAAAAACAGCGTGGCAGAGGTTTCCAACTTAATAGCTAGAATATTGATTTTACTGATTCTTCATCTCAACCCTCCTGCTATCTCAACATTGTACTGAACCACTTGCAGTTTCCCCAGTTTTGCAACACCTCTCATCTCTGGACTTCACATGCATTGTTTCCTCTATCTGAAACATTTCCCATTTCCTGCTATTGGCTAATCCCTACTCATCCTTCAAGTCTCAGATTATACCTCTAATAAGAAGCCTTTCCCCCTGATAGGTGCCTATTTCCAGTATGCCCCCTGGTATTTACTTGTCCCATCATGGCATCTGTCTTAAATGTATTCAATTTACCTGTCTGTCCCAGATAAGTTCCTTAATATCTTTATAGTTTTTAGTACTAGCCTGCCCTAGTAACACTTAGTGAAGAAAGTATGAAGTATTATCATCTACAATTAGGCGAATTAAGTGGGGAGAGGAGGAATTTATAAAAGGTACTACAACTCTCACATTTCCTAACAAAAATTGTTCTTTTTGGTTAATTCTCACCTGAGGATATTTTTTCATTTTAGATAGAGTAGAAGAGAGAAAGAGAGCGAAACATCAGTGTGGGAGAGACACATTGATTAGTCACCTCCTATATGACCCCGACCAGGATGCACGACCCCATTCAGGATGGGATCGAACCTGCAACCCAGGCACCTTGACCAGGAATCTGAACCTGCGACCCTTTGGGCTGTGGGCTGACACTCTAACTGCTGAGTGAAGCTGGTCTATTCCTCACCTGAGAATATTTTTCTGCTTATCAGATAGAATGGGGGAGAGAGAGACAGAGAGAGAGAGACAGAGAGAAACATTATGTGATAGAGCCACATCAACTGGTTGCCTCCCACACGACGTGACTAGGGCTGGGGACAAACTGCAACCAAGGTACATGGAATCGAACCTGCGACTCATTGGTCCGCAGGCTGACACTCTAACCGCTGAGCCAAACCAGCCAGGGCACCGAGATATTCTTTTTTTTTTTCCTTTATTGATTTTGAGAGAGGGAGGAAGTGAGAAGTAGAGAGAGATGGAGACATTGATGAGAGAGAACATCGATTGGCCGCCTCCTGCATGCCCCCCACTGGGGATTTGGCCCACAACCCAGGCACGGGTCCTGACCGAGAATCAACCCAGCGACCTCTTGGTGCATGGGTCAATGCTCAACCACTGAGCCACACCAGCTGGACGAGATATTCTTAATATTGAAACTTGTATTGTGTTTGGCAAAGGTAAGATATTTTGGTTTCTTTAAAACTTTTACTATGCTCTAAGGAAAATTTCCCGCTTGATTTTTACATGATCTCAGATGATAGCCTTTCATACCTTATTCCTAAAATTGAAGATGTTACACCAAAATATAGTTTAAGGCAGAAAAATCACCTCTCTCTCCTTAGCAATTGATTCATTTTGAACTTTACAATTGTACAAGCTTTATATAAAGAGAAAATTCAATGACATCTAAAAATAAATGTATTATGTTATCAATTTACTTTTTCTGAGAAAAGTAAGGTTCTCAAATTAAGCAGTTTTCTCCTCTCAGTCGCTCCCCATGTAATATCCTACATTAAAAAACAAAATTCCGCCCTGGCCGGTTTGGCTCAGCGGTTAGAGCGTCAGCCTGCGGTCTGGAGAGACCCGGGTTCGGTTCCCGCTAAGGGCACGTACTTCGGTTGCAGTTTGTCCCCGGCCCTGGTTGGTCGTGCGGGTGGCAGCCACTCGATGTGTCCCTTCACGTCGATGTTTCTCTCTCTCCCTTCCTCTCTCTCCCTCCCACTCTATCTGTACAAAAAATGGAAAAATGTCCTTGGGTGAGGATAAAAATAAAAAAAAAATAAAAAATTTCTACCCACTGCTCTAGCAGTCCATCAGTAAATGGTAGGAAATTAAAAGCCAAAGAAGAAGATATCAGCCATACTTGAGGACAGGGAAGGTAATTCAAAAGGATTTACTTTATATAAAGTTGGAAATAAAATTGTATATACAAAACTTGGAATAAAATGATTTTATGATGAACAATCACATTCTTCACTCCCTTCAAATGATGTCCTTGAGTCCATACCTAACATCTCAACTATCCTACTACTTCCATCTGATAGCTCTTCTCCAAGCCACTTTATAATGACATTTGCTTAACAAATACCTCATTTTTTTTTTGCAATTCAGTGCATTAGGAATACATGTTATAACTGTTCTTGCTCTATTTTTAAGATATAGAGCACCAGTAGAAAGCACACTAAGTAGATTATTTTTAAAAGTATAAAGAACTATCCATTGAAATCTGCAAGACACTATTGAGAGAAAATTTAAAAGGCCTAATAAATGGATAATGTTCATGCATTAGAAGACTCAATATTGTTAAAATATCAATTCTCCCCAAATTGCTTCTTTAGACTCAACATAATCCCAACCAAAATCACAGCAGGGTTTTTTGTAGAAATTGACAAAAACTTATTTGGAAATGTAAAATAATTTAAGAGTTTTGGAAAACAAGAGCAAAGGTTTAGGTCTTCCACTAAATTACTTCAAGGCTTAAAAGCTATGATAATTATGACAGAACATAGAACATGATAGAATAGAGTTCAAAAATAAATAAATCTACCTATACATGCTCAATTGATCTGTTACAAAGGAGCCATGGTAATTCACTGGGGAAATGATACTCCTTTCAAGAACTGGTACCAAAACAAGGGGATGTCCACATGCAAAAATAAAGACCCTCCATACTTATTTGGTACCATCTACAAAAAGTAACTCAAAGTGGACAGAGATCTAAATATAAAAACTAAAACTATAAATCTAGAAGAAAACATACAAGTATTTGTGACCTTTAATTAGGTAAAGATTTCTTAGATAGAACACAGAAAGCATATACCATATAAGAATAAAACAAATACGTTGTACTGCATCAAAAAATTTTAAGTGAAAAGACAAATAACAGAAAATCAAAGTATTTTTATAATGTAATAATAAAAAGACAACTTAATTTGAAAATAGGCAAGAGATTTGACACTTTACTAAAGAAGTTTTACCAACTGCAAATAGGCAAATGAAAATATATTAAATAGCATTAGCCATTAAGGAAATGTAAATTGAAACTATGAGATATACACCTATGAAAAAGGCTAAAATGAAGAAGACTGACAGTACAAAGTGTTGGTGAGGATGTGAAGAAACTGAAATCCTAATACATAGCTTTGGAAGAGATTTCAGCAGTTTCTTACAAGATCAAGCATACACTGATCATGCTGTGCAAGAGAAACATAACATTATGTCTACACAAAGACTTGTAATACAATGTTTATAACAACTTTATTCATAAATAGGCAAATGCTAGAAACAATCCAAAGTTGATAATCTAGTGAATGAATAAATAATTTGTGATGTTCTATACAAAGGAATATTACTCAGTGATAAAAATGGCCCAACTACTAATACATACAACATGGGCAAATCATTTTCAAAAGCATTATATTAATGTAAGAAACCAGACATAAAGACTGCATGCTGTATATAAGTCCATTTACATGGGATTCTATAAAAGGCAAAAATAGAGATCAGTGGTTGTCAGGGAGTTTGGGAGGAGGAGGCTGACTGCAAAGGGGCATAAAAAAACTTTTTTTAAGTTGATGGAAATGTTCCTTATCATGGCGGTGATGGTAGTTACATGACTGTATACATTTGTCAAAACTCATCTAATTGTACACCTAAAGTTGTTGAGTTTTAGTGTATGTAAACTATATCTTAGTAAAACTGATTACAAAAAAATAGTGCTGAATTCACAATTATATCTCATAATTACAAGGAAAACTTTAAATCAAGCATTCTTAAGTTTTAAATCTGAGCATTTACTACACAATATACAAATTAAGATTTGGGACAAGTTATCATAGGAAACAGACAACTGACATTGTTTTCTTTTTTAAAAAATATGTTTTTTATTTATTTTTAGAGAGAGAGAGAGAAAGGGAGAAATAGAAACATTGATGTGAGAGAGAAACATTAATGGGCTGCCTCCTACACATCCCCTGCTGGGGATCCAGCCCACAACCCCGTCATATTCCCTGACCAGGAAATAGAACCAGGACGTTTCAGTCCATGGGACGATGCTCAATCCACTGAGTCACACCAGACAGGCCGACACTGCTTTCATTAGTTACTAATTCATCTTAAAATTCAATGAAATAAAACCTGAGATTTGCCAGAGCCTATCCAAATCTGTCATAGAAAGAAGCAAAATACAAAGTACTACTCGTTTAGCCATAACAACTTTAGCTATAAAAATTATTCTCTCAAAGTATTTCATAATGCACTACAACAGTGAGTTTTTAATTAGTTAACAACCTTTTTTTTTTTTTTGCAGATTATGACTTTCTAAAACACTTGGTAATAAAAATTTTTATGATACAAAAAGTATTCAGCAACAAAGATTTTGGTGAATTACTCACAGATACTGAAGAAGTAAGGCAAGAATCAAAGTTCTGGTGTGCATCCTGCTTTCAGATGCTTTGACAATACTATTGCACTGCTAGTGTCAAGTACAGTAGTGCAATAAAGTCAGAGCATTCGTTAGCAGTAATAGGTAGGAAAGGAACACAAAAGCATCTTGCAACAGTTGAAGCTTCAGTGAGAAAATAATTTAAAGAAGAACTGCCATTTTGGACAGAAGACATGCTAAATCTAAGCACATTTATATAGAAGTTTAAAAAAAAAGAATCAGACTTACATATCAAAGTGATGTTTTTTTATGACTAATTTATGATTAATACTGAAATAGAAACATGCATATAGATGTAGAAAAGAATTTTGTAAATATGTCCTAAATTTTATAAGTATTAACATGGGTAATGTTAATAGCTTAGGACTGGGTATGAACAAAACTGGTTATAATTATACTAAGGCAAAGTTGCAAAAATATTTCTTTTCTGCTAAGATGTTGGTTAGTTCCTCCATAGCAATTGATTGATTAACTGCCATATAAAACAAGTCTTTTGAATAAGAATATAAAACAAAACAAAACAAAACAAAATAATGTTTCCCAATCTCTATATACCCTATCTATCTCTGGAATTTAAACTACAATACAAAAAGCACTTACCATCTTTGGGCTTTTTATCTACAGTTTACAAACTTTCTAGGATTCCATGTGTCCTAAACATGATGCCATTAGCCCTACCTAACTGAATATTATGAAAAGAGATTTTAAATTTTCACTTAAACCCTAAAACATCATAAACATGAGACAAAAATCACATCCCTTTCTTTCAAACTTAAAAAAGAAACTAATAATGGGATAATTGGAGGGTGGGAGAAAGAGTGTCCAAGGTACAAAAATATAAGCATCAGGTTTCCTTGAATTTAAGCCAATTAACATCCTAACCTTCTAACTGGTAGGAAAGGATTTAAAAAGTCAGATGTAAGCCCAGAAGTAGAAATAGTATTATAGTATCACATTGTACTACCTTTTGTGCACAATCAGTGGTACCACAAAAGAAGGACACTAGACAAATATCCCTCATTAAGTGAAGGAAAAAAAGTTAAGATTAAAACAAAGATTACCCTACAATAAACATATTCCTCCATTAATAACGTTGATTGATGCAAAAATATTTTCCATTATTTTCACTAATCTTCCCTTAAACAGTCAGTTCAACTACTTAGTTGGATTGAGCCTGCAAAGAAATGAACTCAAATTCAGGATAGCTGGAACACGAATGTCTTAGCTGGAACACGAGTGTCTTGACCTAAATCCTGGGCCATATAATTCAGACATTAGAACATTTCAACTAAAAATCAGAGGATTGTACCAAAAATGATTTACCTTTAGAATCTTAGAAACCAAACTGGTTCACAGATGCAAGGAATTAAAGAAAGACCTGCTTTCTTCTTTTCCTCTTAAGATTGTTTAAAAAACTCCCCCATCATTCAAACATCTAAAAGTTTGAGACTGGCTTCTCTCAAACCTACTTTTCAAGGTGTACACTTAGTCATTTCACCCTTAAAATAAAATATGTTCAATCTAAAAAGAGTCCTTTGAGAATACTGACTCAATATATTACAATGTCCAGAAAAGGCTTAATTGGTACCTCAACTAAACAGCCAACTTGAGGGGAGAAAAACTGTTAAAAGCAAAATTGGTATCATTTAGCATCTTACAATTAGGCAGAAGTATGGATATGGAGGAAGCAATTCAGAATGGGGAAGAAGAGCAAGACAATGTTAACATTTACGCCTATTGATAGAATCAAACTACTACAAAAATTCAACATGTTTGTGTGTGTGTGTGTTTAAGACAGTTAATGATAAAAGTAACAAATCTTTAACAATTCATTAAGGGTTTGGAAAGCTGCAGAAAATACTTCTTTTCTGCCATTTCTCTCCCTATCTCCAACCTACTCCAAAGAAAATTAAAACTCTAAACACTAGAAGCAACTGAAAGTTCAAATCGAATTTGTATATGAGGCACTACAATTCATTAGTACATCAGAAGAAAATAAGTTATCTCACATTTTCTGGGAGTGGGAATAGGGGCGAGGATGGTATTCAGTTTCTTCCAGGATCATCACACAGTGCAAATGTTAAGTTAAAGTGATCCAAGATTCAGCTTGGAGAGAGCAACACAAGCACAAATGATACCTAAGGAGTAATGCCAGGGAATCGCAAGGGGAGGAGGGGCGGGTTGCGGGTGGAGAAGAAAGGATTTTGGCTTCTTTACCTAATCTTATTTTTCTTTAACGAAAAACAGACAGGAGGTCAATGATGGGTGAGTCCTCTAAATTACACGTTTTAAAGGAAGCCAGCCCAATTATAACAAACAAACAAACAACTGGTAATGCAGGGGGGTACGAAGGACTGATGATAAAACAAGGGAACTAAGAAGAGAAGAAAAAAGCGCGGGCGATCAAGCTGGTTGTTTAGGGACGGCAGGGAGGGAATAAAGAGGACAAGTGAGAGAAAGATCCTTAGAAGAAAACTAGGACAGCTCTCCAGCTTGGCGCCCTCGTGCAGGCCAAGCAGCAGCGGGAGTCCTTTCCAATTATTCGCTCCCGCCCCCTTCTTTCACAAATGAATGAAACTAAGCAACTCGAGAGCAGGGTGCCTTCCTTGTCCCAATCCCGCCCGCGCTCCAGGAAAGCAGCTCCTGGTTCAGGTTGCCCATAGCTCGCTCCCCGACCCAAGGTCTGCCTGCCCCCTTTGGGCCAAACAAAAACTGGTCTAGGGGCTTTCTTGGCCGCTAAGAAGTTGAGCACACAAGTCTAGCACCCTTTCTCAGACTTTCTCAACCCATCTTGGAGGATGCGAGCTGTTCAGCCCGACGGGATTTCTCTCCCTCCCCCTCCGTCCCCCGGTTTATCCCCACCCAACCCCACCTTCCATCCCTTTTCTGAAGTGTGAACAACCTCTCCCCTTCTTGGGGCGTTTTGGGACCATTCCAGTCCCGTCTTTTTGGTGGAAACACAAACGTCTGCACCAGCCATAGCTCCTTGAGGGGCGGAAAGGTGAGGGCAAAGAACAAAAAATTCCAGTGGCCCCACACCCTCAGCATCTCCCGCCATTTCCCTCACCAGTTTCCCGGATGTAACCCCTTCCTCCCGCGGCGGTTAAAAGACCAGGCGGCGATGAGTCCCTTTGGTGCAAGAGGAGGGAACTCAGGTCTGGTCCAGCCTCCGCCGCCCTGAGTTTCCGGCAACTGCGAATTGCGTCCCCTTTGGAGGCCATCGGGGAAAAAACAAAGTATCCAGTAGATCTCCTTCACTTTACACTCACCATCAATTCCAGCTTATCGACCTCCTCCTCCATGTTGAATAGTTGACATTCCTCAGGCCGTGGCGGTGCTTAAGCCGCAAACCATACTAGCACTGAGGGTCCCTATTGGACAGCTGTCACTCAACGTCTTGCATTCATTGGCTGCTCCGCTTCACCGGAGCCCGCCCATTGGCGACTGGGCAACGCCTCTCTTTATGAAACACTTTTTTCTGTTGGGCAAAGACACAAAACGCCGCCAGAGGATTGGCTGCTGTACACTTATTTTTTTCCATTGGCTGCACCCTCTTCTCTACTTTCAATTTCATAGTTAGGTCTCAGCAGAGAAGATTGCGATTGGTGCAATCGGAAGAAGAGCCAACCAATTACACAAAGGCTTCCACAAACAGCATAGGGGAAGTGACACACCTTCTTTCCTCTCCTGCTTCTCCTCCCCTTCGCTCCCGCCTTCTCCTTATTCATACTAGAAGCGCCTCAGCTCTGATTGGCCGGAGTGTGGTGCTGTTTCAGCCAATCACCATCCAGGCTGTGCTCCAACATTACGGGGAGAACTAATCGTGAAGAGACCATGGCTATGATTGGTCCCTCCACGGTAAGGTTTTAATTTCGAATTTTTCTTCATGGCGAGGGCGAGGCCACTGCCTGGACTTCATCTAATCCCCGGGCTCTTAGACTAGTAAGTGCAAGGAAATGTTCCTTTGTTACCCAGGCTCGTGTCTTCCATTGCTGGGCCTGTTGCTGCTTGTGTTTTTACTGTTTACGGAGGTGGGGACTTTGGCTGGACTCGGAGGAGAGACAGAGCGGGGCAGAGGAGGTTTGAGGAGGTTAAGAAGTGGTCTGCCTGGTCCCACCCTAACCATATTTCTATTTAATTAAAACTCTGCAAATTATGGTTTGGAGGAAAGTAATCTGCCTTCCTTTTGCACAGCCCTTTACATCTTAGCTACTCAAAGTGTGGTCTACGGACCTACGGCATCCGCATCACTTGGGAGCTTGTGAACAATGCAGATTATCGGGCTCCACCCAAACTTACTGAATCGATATATACATTTTAACATATGGGGGTGCCACCCCCAGTGATTCTCATGCACATTAAAGTTCGAGAATGTTCATTTCTTAACAGGGAGTATCACTAGGTTCCTTGATATGGTCTTGCTATGGTCCGACGTTCTGTGAGAGTGTCAGTTTTAGAAGTGTGCCCTGTTTACTATGTACTTAATACTATGCGGGACTAGGGTTTAAGAAGCTGCAATTTCTTAAAAAGAAAAAGAGCCAGGAATTAAAAAGTCAATGCAGTACAGCGTGAAACGTAAAATTAAATACATGCAAGTACCAGAAATAGCACTATGGATAGTCAAGAGGAATCAATTGAACTGGTTGGTAATGGAAATTGATTAATTGACCGAAAGCTGTTTATGATTAGTTGACCGAAAGCTTTTTATGGAAAAGTGTAAGAAGCCTCTATAAAAATGTGTTTTAGGAAGATAGTAATGCAATGCAGTTGTCATTTCCGTCGTTGCCACAGTTTTATAAGTGCCCTTGACCAAAAGCACTTTTCATATCACAAGGAGTTTAGCAGCAGTGCCAACCCCTCCTGCAGAAGATTGTAATTCTTACTCTGTTATTTATTGCATCTTCTTACTGGAAATAGTTTTGGGCCCATCTTGTAACCATATCAAGGTGTGGTATGATTGGAAGAACAAAAAACCTCCCTCATCAATACAGAATTTTCCAGAATTTTGTATTAAGGCTACTCCTTAACTAAAAGAGAGAACACTTGTTAGCTAACACTTGGCAAGAATAGTTTCTTTTAATCATTTTTTGAATGAAACATTATTTAGTTCTTGCTATAGGCTAGGTCCTGGGAGAACAAAGATGAATAAACTTCATTTTACCCTTGAAAAGCTCATGGTCCATTGGAGTGACAAATGCGAACAAATATAAGGGTCCTAGAGCAAATTAAGCCTGAAACATCACTAGAGGCAAAAATAACTGAAGTGGTCCTGTTTGGGACACATCATGAGAAGGATGCTGGGGAAAATAGGCAGAAAGAAGATAGGAATTACAAATGTAAAATAGATTGACATCATCAAAGAAGTCATAGGCATGAGTCTACAGGAGTGATCAGGGCTCTTAATGGGACATTGTGGACATGACTCATTCATAGGGTTGCCAGGAGAGGGAGCCAACTCAAGAGGCACCTAACACACATAAAGTGCTATGGGAACCCAACAGAGATGACATTTCAACCAGTGTAAATTCCATAGAAACAGAGACTGTGTTTGTCTTGCTCAGAATTGTATCCCAGCACCTACCATAGTACATATTTCAACAAATATCTGTGAGAAAAAGTAAGAGTCTTGAAGGCTATATAAGTTGACCAGGAGGCATATACCCTAAGCAGCTGGAATGGTTGATAACACTATAGAAAGTATTTGGTGTTTGCTTTACCTGACATACAAACTGCTAATCACTAGAAGAGATGAGGTTGCAAAGGGCCATTATTAGAGCTAAATTGTGAAAAGCTTTGAAAGGTATGCTAAGAAATTTGGTTTATCCATTGGGTGATAAGGAACCTTCAAATACATTTGAGCAAGGGAATATCAGGATTATTTTTTTTTTGGGGGGGGGGGTCATATTTTTTATATTGAAAAACTAACTCTATGCCCTGGCCAGGTATCTCAGTTGGTTTGGGTGTTGTCCCAATACGCCAAAGTTGCAGGTTTGATCCCTGGTCAGGGCACATACAAGAATCAACCAATGAATGCATAAATAAATGGAAGAACAAATCGATGTTTCTCTCTCTCTCTCTCTAGCTCTAGCTCTGTCTCTTGGTCTCTCCCTTCCTCTCTCCCTCTCCCCCTTTCTCTCTATAAAATCAATGAAAAACACAATGAGACTATAGTAACAGTATAGAAAATGAACTGGCAAGGAGAAAGATAGAAGGCAGGAGGATCACTGGAGGAATACTGAGATAAGCCTAAACTGAGGAACATTTTCCAGAACAGCTGGCCTGGACTCTTAAAAAATATAAATATGAAGAAAAGCAAATATTCATATAAAAATGCTGGGAACTGTTATGAACTGTTAAGAGACACTACAGTTAAATGCAATGTGGAGAGGGAAGTGGAGCAGCAATAAAGAATATTATTGAAATGATTGGGGTAATTTGAATGTAGACTGTTTATTAGATAATATGAAGGTTACATTTCCTGATTGTGATTGTGGTTTTATAGGAGACTGTCCATGGCCATGTTAGGAAAATCCATCTCAAGTATGTAGGAGTGAAGTATCATGATGTATTTACTATATATTTTTTATTTTGAAAAATTTCAAACCTTAAGAAAACTTACAAGAGGAGTATAAACACTCATCTATCATTCACCTAGGTTCACTAATTGTTATCTTTCTGTATAGGGATGTGTATGTGTATATAATATATAAAAAATACACTAAAAGCCCTGGCTGGTTTGGTTCAACGATTAGAGAATCAGCCCTCAGACCAAAGGGTGTCGAGTTTGATCCCTGGTCAAGGGCATGTACCTGGATTGCAGGTTTGATCCCTTGCCCTTGTCGGGGTTGTGCAGGAGGCAACCAGTCGATGTGTCTCTCTCAAACCCATGTTTCCCTTTCTCTCTCTCTCTCCCTCCCTTCCACTCTATGTAAAAAGCAATGGAAAAATATCCCGGGGGGGGGGGGGGAAGATATGCTAAGGAATTTAGTTTATCTGGTGGGTAAATCAAATTTATATAAATATAAAATTACATATTGCATTTCATATATTATATATAATATACATTATATTATACATATATACACACACACCTATATAGAAAGAGAAATAACAGATACCAATTGGTGAATGTAAGTGAATGGTATATGAGTGTTTAGTATGTTATTCTTTAAATTTTCTCAAGGTTTGAAAAATTTTTAAATAAAAAGAGTAGGTGAAAATAGGTTATAGCAAAAGACAAAAACAGGAAAGCCCAGGAGAAAGATGGCAAAGGCAACGGTAGTTAGAGGACAGAGAAGGAAGGGATGGTAAGGAGAAGGGACAGGATAAGTTAATTGGAGGACTATTTCTGACTTGTGTACGTACTATCGATGCTCCAACCAACTGAGCAATGCGGGCCAGGGCTCAAATACTTTTAATAAAGCAATGATAATAAACCTTACCTTGCTGAGTCCTTTGTCTTATTTGAGGTAGGAATTAATTATCTTTAATTTTTGGAAGAGCTGTGATTATTTTTTAATGGAACTTTAATCTAAGAATTATGTCAGACTGACAGATTTGACATAGTCTCTAAATTCTCTGTGTTTGCTAATTACTGTATTTAATGAGAAGACTATTAGATAGAGTGACAACAACCCAGAGCCCAGGACTCTCTCTGTCTCTTTCTTTCTCTCTCTCTCTCTCACACACACACTCACCCACACAGAGCCAGAGAAGAAAGAAGAGAAAATACGATTTTGTTCCTAGATTTTTTTTTTTTTTCATTGAAAAATAATCTCCGCAATGGCATACATCAGTTTTTGTAGGACTCTTTAAAAATGTGAATTCATGGAACAACCACCAGGGAAGAGCTAGAAAGAGATGGCCCAGTTTCAGAATGGTACTATTCTATTTTTCAAGCTAATAATAAATACCAAGGGTTAACTGTCAACTACTAATACAAGGCTTATTATAGTTAGAAACAAACAAAAAATGGTAGTCCTCTGAATTATCTCCCTATAATCCTGACTCCTACTTGCCAAAGGCAACACTATCCACTCTTATAATTTACCTCCAACTAAATAACATGCTTATAACATTGTTTCTCCCTCTCTCTCTTTTTCCCTCAATTTTAGACAATATGTTAATTTAGACAACTACTGATTTCTACTTTCTCCCCAATATACCTATATTATCATTTTTGGTTGAATAAACATTCAGTGTTTACACTATTAAATATTGTGTAACAGTGGAATGTATAGTATTACTATGATATATATTTTTTCTTGTACAACTTTTTTCCTAACCATTTTTATATGCTTATATTTTTAAGCACTTACAGTAATTTGGCCCCAACTTTACAAAAGTACAGTCAACTCCACTAGAATGGTCAAACACTAGGTAATTTATCTATTTCCTTTTTTTTCCCACTCAGAGACATTGTTACTAAAGCCCTCTATTATCCCTGCTCATTTCAATGGCTGTGTGTACTCTAAGCCAGGGGTCAGCAAACTACTGTTTTTATAGGCCTCGTGAGCTAAGAATGGTTTTACAATTTGTAATAGTTGGGGAAAATGTCAAAAGAATAACGATATTTTGTGATACATGAAAATTATATGGAATTCAGACTTGAATAGCCATAAATAATATTTATTGGAACACAGCCATGTTCATTTGTTTTGTTATAATGTGTCAGCAAGATACCAGAGACGCACAGCCTAATTGTAAAGGAACGCTTTAATCTGGCCGGCAGGCTGCAGAGGGCATAGTCTCCTCTCAGATCAGCAGCCAGGATTCTTTTTGGATTCTTCTTGCTCTGGTGATTTTAAAGACAGAAGCCCCATCCTCTTTTTGCCCCCCGCCCCCAAAGAATCACTACAGTAGTGGGTGTGACAGCGATTATTAGCATTATTCACCGGGCTCAGAGTGCCTGCAAATGCCTTCCAACACGTGGGGCAACTATAATCTTAGGCAAAATTCCTTTACTTCTAGGGGTAATTAACCTATTATTGGAAAAATATTGAAGAAGGTCCATTGATGATAAAAATGGAGTTATTTAGTCACCTTAGCCAAGAGGCCTACATAAGAATGGAATCTTAGCCTTGGGGTCCAGGTCAATTTAAGCATTGTCTATGGCTGTTTTGGTGCTATAGTGGCAGAATTGGGTGGTTTTAACAGAGACCAGATGGCTTGCACAGCCTAAAATATTTATGATCTGGCCCTTTACAGAAAAGCTTTGCTGCCCAGCCTGTGTAGCTCAGTGGTTGAGCGTTGATCCAGGGGTGGGCATTTGGAGGTGGCCAATCGGTGTTCTCTCTCATCAATGTTTCTATCTATCTCTCCTTCTCCCTTCCTCTCTCTCTAAAATCAATAAAGAAAAAATATTTAAAACATTAAAGCAAATGAATTTATTAAAAAATTAAAGCATGCACATTTATTAACAAAGCAAAGCAAGCAAATCTATACATCTGGTTTATGATAAGATAAGACTATATTCTTCTTTCCCCCTCCTCCCTGCTGTTTTAACAATTTCAGGATGGTTCGGCACTAAATAGTCTCTGATTCTTCCTCCTCCTCTCCCCCTTCCCTTGCCCCTCCTTTCCTGCATTCTTTTGTGAGGAGAGGTTTTAACTCTTTGTTCTCAAGATAAGATCTTGTTACAAGTGGCCTTTTGGCTTTGTTTAATTTTCCTGCCTCAGTTTCCCTATTCCACCTGTCCCAGAATTTTCCTAGCTTGCCATTGCCCTGTAACAGTTACAGGATGTGTTTACGTTTACTTTGTGATAAGTCATTGAACAATACACTTAAGATTGTGAATTATATATGTGTGTGTGTACACACACACACACACACACACACACATAGTATGCTTCAAGAAAAAAATTGAAAAATATTTTTTTCTCTACAGAAATCATGCTGAAGTTCAGACAGCAAAGAAGAAAGCAAAGAGCAAAAGCAAAAAGATTTAAAAAAAAAGGAGCCTCTCACTTTCAATCCAAGCTAATTACACCTCCCCCTCTGCCACCCTCAGCAGAAAGGTAAGGCATAATGTGGAACATCGAAAAATATTTTAAAATTCCATCAGTTTAGGATAGAGTTACTAGATTTAGCAAATGAAAATACAAAATACGCAGTTAAATTTGAATTTCAGATAAACAATGACTTTTTTTGGTGGTGTCCCATACAACATTTATAATATACTAAAACTTATTCATTATTTATCAGAAATTGAATTTTAACTGGCCATAGCCTAAGAGTTCAAATGAAGTAATAATCACAAGGAATTGTGGTAGAGGTACTCAGTAACTATTTTCTCTTTTCCTGGTCAATTTAATTGCATAAATATGGTAACCAAGTGATGAAAGAGAGGTATAAGATTAGAATTTAAATCTTAGTTTTGGTGAAGTTTGGTCATTTATTCTCTGGAACTCAGGGCTGATATGTGTCTAAGTTCTAGGAACCCAAGGGTATTAAGTGTCACAATAACCTACTTTATACATTTTGTTGTTACAGCTCTCTTTATAGAAAGAAATTAAAAATAAACAGGCCCTCATCCTCTTTTCCATCTCTCTCAAATATTGAGAAAGCTCCTAACTGGTATTTCTGCTTCTGCCCTTGCCCCCTCTGCAGTGAGCCTGTTAAAGTCATGTCATATTGCTTTTCTACTTGAAGCTCTTCAATGTCTTCCTCTCTCAGAGTAAAAATTAAAAAGTCCATAGTATGACCCCCAAGGCCTTTATGATCGGACTCTGACATTATTTCTTAATCCTCCTCCCTTCCACTTCTGCACCCAAGTCATCCTGGCCTCCTTACTATTCCTCAGACATCTCAATAAGCTTCCATCTCAGAGCCTTTGCACTTACTATTGCCCCTGCCTGAATGATCTTGTCCCAAATATTTGATTTCTAGCTTCTGTATTTCCTTTAGGTTTTTTTTTCCCCCCTCAAAAGTCCCCTTCTCAGTAAGATTTTTCCTGGCTACCCTATCTAAAATTTCACCTCCACCCAACATTTTACATTCCCTCTCTTTTGCTTTATCTTTTTCTCCTTAGCATTTATTCACTAACAACTCATATATGTTATTTATTTACTTATTTTTACTTTTTTTCCATGAGACTGTAAACTCCATGAGGGGAGGGTTTTTGCCTGTTTTGTTCATTACTGAATCCCTGATGCCTATTTATTTACTGTTTTGTCTTATTTGTCCCTGTTTATTTACTCAACAAATATTTGTTGCTTAAGTGAATTCTAGAATTTACTGAAGAATCTGACTTTAGTTAGTCTCTGTTCCTGACTTATGCTCTAAAACTAGCTTGTTGTTTAATTAGAGGCTATTATTCCAACTCAGGAGCTTTTGCTTTATTTGGTTTTGTTTTTCCTACAGAGTGGTTATTCCTCCAACAAATACACTCCTTAGCAAAAGCTGGCTAAGGTCATCCTGGAATTTCAAATTTCCCAGTATCAAAGATGCAGTAAAACTTTGGACAAATAGAGGATGGTCAATATACAACTGGTGCCAGAACTGCATAGCCCAGGTATGGGTCCAACATACCAGTTTTCAGTAATGCAGTTTTTTTTACATACTTGCTCTGTGTGTGTGCTCAGGTCAGCACAGCACTCAAGCTAAGCTCAGATGAGATGAAATTATGGGGTCATGTCTGCCTTTGTTTTTATAAAACATTTATCAAACCACTTTCTTGTTCTCTTTTCTTGTTCTTATCTTATTGCTCATCAGAGTCAGGCTTGTGTATTTTTGAATTTTAGAGTTTAGAGGTATTGAAAGACACCATCTTTCCTTCCCGTTTCTGCCACCGAGAACTTCATAGTCTAAAACAACGGTTTTGCATTTTGGAAAATGAATTGTGCAAGCTCCAGGAAGCACTGAAGGTTAGTATTATCAAATAAAAGACAAATCTGGAATTAGGTCAGGAGGGAAGGGGTTGTCTCATCTCCCATAGGAATCCCACTGTGCTTTTACCAGAAAAGGAATGAATACAGGCGAGTGCTAGTCCTTAGAGGCTCTGCCCTGACCGGTTTGGTTCAGTGGTTAGAGCTTCGACCAGCTGACCGAAGGGTCTCAGGTTTGATTCCTGGTTGCAGGTTCAATCCCCAGCCCTGATTGGGGTTGTGTGGGTTGTGTGGGAGACAGCCAATTGATGTGTCTCTTTCACATGGATGTTTCTCTCTCTCTCTCTCTCTCTCTTTCTCTCTCTCTCTCTCTCTCTCTCTCCCCCCCCCTCCCTCTGCCTCTCCCTCTCCCTCTCTCCCTGTCTCTCCCTTTCTCCCCCTCCCTCCGTTCCTTCCTCTCCTCTCCGCTCCCTTCTACTCTATTTAAACAATGGAAAAACATCCTCCGGTGAGGATTAATAACAACAAAAAAATACTTAACGGGCTCTGCTCTAAATTGCAGAGATGCTAACCCCTGCAGGCAATACTTCTCAAGCTCCATGTCACCTGGTTTCTGGTTGTGCTGGGCTAATGGAGACACTGATTTACTACTGATGAGAGACTAGAGGGAGGGAGAAGACAGGGTGTTTTTCCCTTTCATTCTCTGTGTTGGGTAATCTCTCCAGCAACAGTTGTAATTGTCTCTCTCTCAAATTCCAGCTCCCACAAGGTAAGTCTACCACATTTCTTGATTCTCTGGGTTAATCTAGCTCCAGAGATCTGGTTCTACTGCTCTTTCCTTTGTCCCTCCATTCTCAGGGTATTCATAGCTTTCTGCTGTTGCTAACTTCTGGGCTTCCTCACTGTCCCCTTTGTGCTTCTCAACTCTTCCATCAAAAGTGGAACCAACTGCCCACATTACATTCCCCATCTTTGAAATACTCAGGGTGTTTTCATTTTCTTGACTGATACAGGTAGAAAAACAAACTGTAAATATCTACCTTCTCTAAACTTCTGAGAAAGACCTTTATTCTCAATGTCCAAAACTCAAAGACTAAACATTGCACTCATTGGTGTGGAGAGAGGCTTTTGAGGTTATATCTGCTCCCAGAATTTGTACCTCAAGATGAACTAGCCAGAGTGGGGAAGACACATCACCTCACTCTAGGCCTTAGTTTCATCATCTATAAAGTGGGGATGATGCCATCTTTAGTGGGCGGGATGATGGCCCCCCAAGAGATATATTTAACCCCTAATCCGTGGAACCTATAAATATTACCTTATTTGGGAAAAAGGGTCTTTGCAGATAAAATTAAGGATTTTGAGATAAGGAGACCATTCTGTGTTATCTGGGTAGACTCTAAATCCCATGGCAAATGTCCTTATTAAAGAGATACACAGAGCAGAACACACGGAAAAGGAGAAGCAGTGGGACCAGAGAGGCAGAGACTGGAGTGATGCAGCCTCAACCAAGGAATCTTGACAGCTACCAGAAGCTGGACCAGGCAATGAACAGATTCTTCCCTAGAGCCTTGGGAAGGAGGGCAGCCCTGCTGACATCTTGATTTTAGACTTCTAGGCTCCAGCTCTGTGAGAAAATGAATTTTGATTATTTTGAGTCACCACGTTTGTGGTAATTTATTATAGCAGCCACAGGAAACCAGTACAACTTACTTCATAGGGTCATTGTATTTATTTGCTAGGGCTGCTGTAACAAAATAGCACAGACTGAATGGTTTATACAGCAGAAATTTATTTTCTCACAATTCTGAAGGCTAGAAGTCTGAGATAAAGGTTGGCTTGGGTTTTCTCTGAGGCGTCTCACCTTGGCTTACTTTCTCACTGTGTTCATACATGGACTTTTCACTATGCACGCCCATCCCTTGTGTCTCCTGTATATGCAAACTTCCTTTTATATAAGGACAGCAGTCAGACTGGATGAGAACCCACCCAGACAACCTTATTTTAACTTAACCACCTCTTTAAAGACCCTATCTCCAAATACATTCTGAAGTATTGGAGGTTAAAACTTCAACATATGATTGTTGGTGATGGGAGGTGGGATATGCAATTCAGTCCATGTAGTCATGTTACAGCCCCTTAGCCTTTTTCTTTTTCTTTTCTTTCTTTTTTTTTTTTTTTTTTATCCTCACCCGAGGACATTTTTTGATATTTTGCTCAGATAGAGTGGGAGGGAGAGAGAGAGATATCAACGTGAAAGGGACACATCGAGTGGTTGCCACCCTCACAACCCAACCAGGGCCAGGGACAAACTGCAACCGAGGTACGTGCCCTTAGCGGGAACCGAACCCTGGTCTCTCTGAACCTCAGGCCGACGCTCTAACTGCTGAGCCAAACCGACCAGGGCCCCTTAGCCTTTTTATCAATTCCTAGAATATACTATATTCCTGGTTGCTAGGTATTTTTTATTAATATGTTTTTATTGATTTTTTAGAGAGGGAGGAAGGGAGAGAGAGATAGAAACATCAATGTGAGAAACATTGATCGACTGCCTGTACTACATGTCCCTTACTAGGGATTGAGCCTGCAACCCAGGCATGTGCACTGACCAGGAATTGAACCAGGACCTCTCAGTCCATGGGATAGTGCTCAATCCAGTGAGTTACACTGGTCAGGCCTAGCTGCTAGGTATTTTGCCCTCTGCTAGGAATTCTTTTCCCCTAGTCCTTATCTCCCTTCACATAGTAAATCTCAATTCATCCTTGAGATTATGGCTAAATGTTACTCCCAGGCTTCTCACTCTTCATGCTCTCAACATACTTAATGATTTTTATTGAATTATTATTTTGTTTTGTTTGGAGTATATTTGTGTGTGTTTAATGTCTGTGTTCCTTACCAGATTGTCAGCTCCATTAGGTGGCAGACAGGGCTCACATTGACTCACAGTACCTGGCATATAGCATACATAAAACAATTGTATGAATGAACTTGTGATAAATGAGAAAATATTATTAAGCGTGTGGTATACTGAGAAAGTATTCAAAATACTAGCTATTATTTTAATGATTCTCGGCTACAAGAACCAAATTAATCTGTTATTCCTTTGCCAAATGTAATGTCTTTTTTTCAGAGCATCTCAGAAAATTCTTCCTGTCCAAGCTGTGGTTACACGAGTGGTAAACTTACAAATGTGGCTGCCTGTGCTCTGACCACCCCTGGAGAATCCCAAGCTATACTTCCTGCCATTCTGCCACAGCCAGCGGTCCAGCTTCCTCCTCCACCCCCTCCTCCCCCTCCTCCACTTCCACCTCCCCCTCCCCCTCCACCACCCACAGCACCTTTGCTGCTCAGAAAATCCAATCTCACTAAAGCACTTCAGGTAAGAAACAATCTAGTAAAAAGGTGTATTTAGGTAAGTATGTAATGGAGGAGTAAAGACAGGTGGCACTTTAAGGCTGGGCTAAGGACGTTGACAGTATATCTTGTTCTGATTCCATATCTTAATTATGTCAATTATTGTTTTTATAAAAACTGGGAACTGCCCTGGCCGGTTTGGCTCAGCCGTTAGAGCATCGGCCTGCGGTCCGGAGAGACCCGGGTTCGGTTCCCGCTAAGGGCATGTACCTCGGTTGCAGTTTGTCCCCGGTCCTGGTTGGTCGTGCGGGTGGCAGCCACTCGATGTGTCCCTTTCACATCGATGTTTCTCTCTCTCTCTCTCTCCCTCCCACTCTATCTGTGCAAAAAACGGAAAAAATGTCCTCGGTGAGGATAAAAATAAATAAATAAAAAAATAAAAACTGGGAACTTACAAAAGCTGGATACAGAAAGGAAAGTAATTTTTATTATTATTTTTGTTGTTAATACTCACCCTAGGATATTTTTCCATTGATTTTTTTTTTTTTTTTTTTTTTTAGATAAAATGGAAGGGAGGGAGGGAAGGTGGATGAGTGAGTGAGAGACAGAAACATCAACTGGCTGCCTCCCACATGACTCCAACCAGGGCCAGGGATCAAACCTTCAACCCAGGTACATGCACTTGACCAGAAATTGAATCTGCAACCCTTCAGTCCAGGGGCTGATGCTCTAACCACTGAGCTAAACCAGCCAGGACTATTTTTATTATAATTTTTTTAATTTTCACCTGAGGATATTTTTTTCATTGATTTTTTTTTTTTTTTTTAAGGTAGAGTAGAAGGGAAGAAGGAAGAGAGACAGATAAACATCGATGTGAGAGAGACATCGATTGGTTGCCTCCTGCATGTCCCCGACCAGGCCAGGAATCAAACCTGCAACCCAGGTGCGGGCACTTGATAGGAAATGGAACCCGAGACCCTTCTGTCCAAGGGTCGACGCTCTAACCGCTGAGCCAAACCAGCCAGGGCATGAAAGTGATTTTTTTAAAAGGATAAATGAATGAAATTTAGTAAAGTGGAAGATTTCTATTGGCTTCTCAGCATATCTTTTTTTTTTTCTTTTCTTTCCCCAACTAAACTATTTAGTTTCTCCTGAAAAATGTCAGCATATCTATTTACTAAAAGGAAAACCTCCCTGGGAAACCAAATTAAGAACAAAAGATGGCTTAGTGAGTGAACTCAGAATAAAAAGAGTTGGCGGATCCTAAAGTATAAGGCCATTAGGCTGGGGAATCAATCTCCATTAGATTTACTTATCTACCAAGGGGACTGGAATATTTGTGTATCACTAAGATAGGCATGACCCTGTTTTAAAATCTGCTGAATTTTTACTATAGATACATTTGATTTATAATGGCTGAGTTAAATCCAGAGCCTACTGCTATATATGCCCTAATGTGTACCTCTCTGACTACATTTTTGCTCTATGGGAACTGGATCATCTGATCATTTTTCCATTGATTTTTAGATAGAGTGGAAGGGAGGGAGGGAGGAAGGGAGGGAGAGAGAGAGAGAGAGAGAGAGAGAGAGAGAGAGAGAGAGAGAGAAACATCAATGTGAAAGAGACACATTGATTGGTTGTCTCCCACAGGACCCCAACCGAGGCTGGGGGTCAAACCTGCAATCCAGGTAGATGCCCTTGACCTGGAGTCAAACCCGAGATCCTTTGGTCTAAGGGCCAATGCTCTAACTGTTGAGCTATACCGGCCAAAGCTGGATCATCTTTTTTCATAGTTCAGGTAAACTTCACTTTGATTTGAAGAACTACTTCAATTCCTGTCTTATTATAATGACTCCTGAGGAACATGCATAGGTTCAGAGAACTAGCCCATCTCTTACTATCAAAGCTGTACCTTTTTTTTTTTTTTTGGTACGTTCTCCTAGCGGCAGCCAAATCCGGGGCTCTCTGGTCTGCAGGCCGACACTCCAACCGCTGAGCCAAACTGGCCAGGGCAAAGCTGGACCTTTTGACGAATACTTTCAAAAGCTTTAGTATCTTTGGGTACAGAAAACAGGATCATTCTTGGTTTAGTGAAAAGAATTTGATAGGTTCCTAGGGTAAATAAAAGTTAAGTTTTAACTCCAAGTCTTTAAAAACTATATTTGGGCCCTGGCCGGTTTGCCTCAGCTGTTACAATGTCGTCAGCCCACAGACCAATGAATCACGGGTTCGATTCCGGTTAAGGGCACGTACCTTAGTTGCAGTTTGTCCTCAGCCCTGGTTGGGATCATGCGGGAGGCAACCACTTGATGTGTCCCTCTCACATTAATATTTCTCTCTCTCTCTCCCCCTCCCACTCTATCTGAAAGTAAATAGAAAAATATCCTCAGGTGAGGATTAAAAAAAAAAGCTATATTTGGATTTGCGTTTGACTAGGTATCATGGTTCCAAATTGAATTACACTCTCTCCATGTATTTGAAGGCTGGACCATTAAAAAAGGATGGACCCATGCAGATAACAGTTAAAGATCTAATGACTGTGAAATTAAAGAAAACACAGAGTTTTGATGAAAGGAAAAAGGTAAGATATCATTGACCATTCATTCGCATAGTTCTCCTGGTTGTCCCTTTATGGAAACAAAATATAAATCTTATGTATAGAGTGTAGAAGCTATTCCAAGGTAAGTATTTGATGTCTTATTTAAGTAGTTGTGGATCTCCACAACAAAATATGTAGATCCCAAAGTTATTTAATTAGGCACTTTTATGTACCATTAGTCTGAATAGGTTGAGACATACTTTGAAGCTTTAGGTAAAAATTGAGTGGAGTAATGGGTATGTCTTACACATACTCGGCACTCAAATATTCATTATTTAAGCGTGTTTATATTTTTTATATTTTAATGTGTTTTTTAATAATGTCTCATTTTGCAATTAAAGCTTGTTCTATCACCAAAGGCACGGAACCCGCTAGTTACGGTCTCTGACTTGCAGCGTGTTACCCTGAAGCCCAACTCCAAAGTGTTATCAACTCGAGTTACAAATGTCTTAATGTAAGGAATTACACTGTGTTATGCTCTGCCACTACTTAAAATGTTTTTTTTTTTTTGCTTTTTTATTAACCTTAAAAATCATATATGTGCATTGTAGAAAAAATGGTATTTACAAAAAAGTTTAAAGAAGAAAACGAAAATCATCCAAATTAATGTATCATTGAAGATTGCCACTGTTAGCATACTATTATTTATCATTCTAATCTTTTTCTATGCATATAATCTATTGTTTATTATAAGATTACACCATTGATTTAATAACAGATTTTTTTGGGAAAAAGAAATACTATCACCCTGGCTGGTTTGGGTCAGCAGTTAGAGTGTCGGCCCATGGACCAATGAGTCATGAGTTCAATTCCGGTCAAAGGCACATACCTTGGTTATGGTTCTTCCCCGGCCCTGGTCTGGTCATGCAGGAGGCAACCAATTGATGTCTCTCTCCCCCCTTCTCTCTCCCTCCCTCCTACTCTCTCTGATGATAAACAGAAAAATATCCTCTGGTGAGGATTAAAAAAATATATACTATCCAGAATTTTAGTAACTTATATATCTCAATAAAATAAATTTTAAAGCAGCCCGATTTCAGAAATAATAAAATATGAAAACTAGTATGTCTTAGAATCAAGAAAATATGATGTATGTATGTATATATACCTCTGCATAATCATTGTAGATACAGTTATGACTTTTCCCATTCAGTGTGTCATGAGCTTCCCCCATCTTATTAAAAATTAATTTAAAGTATCATTTTGACTTGTTAATATAAACAGTTTATTATATATAAATTTCACAGATAAAATCCTGTTTTGAGACATTTAGGTTGTTTATGATTTTTTATTTCTATAACTCTTCAATGAACATCCTTGTCTATCATCTGTGTGAATAGCTGAGTTTTCCCCTAAGATGGATTTTTATATATGTAGTTACTAAGTCAAGAAGTATTAATAATTTGAAGAATTATTATAACACTATATTCTCCTATCAGCATCTAGTGCTATTTTTTAATGTACCAAACAGAACTACTTTTTAGGATGTTGCCTGTGAAAATGACTGCTTTGCTTTGGGAAAAATGATAAAATCTAGCAAGCTCTAACTTTGTTGTCTTTATTTTATTAGTACTCCTGGTAAAAGTCAGATAGATCTGCGGAAACTACTTAGAAAAGTCGATGTAGAAAGGTAATACACTCTCTTATTTTTATGCTCTCTAAATCTACTTGATAATTGGCATAAAACAGTTTATAATATTTTTATTACCTTTGCAGGAGCCCAGGTGGGACCCCTCTTACCAATAAAGAAAATATGGAAACAGGAACTGGATTGACTCCAGTAATGACCCAGGCCTTGAGGAGAAAGTTTCAGGTGAGCCTTTAGAAAACAAAAAAATTTTTGGTTCCTTTTCTTCAAATAATTTATTTAGAATCATAATCTAAAGCTTCTTTCTTGATAATAATAATTTTTATTGTATTTTTTATTTTTTTGTTAATCCTCACCTGAGGATATCTTTCCACTGATTTTTTTAGAGAGAGTTAGAGAGGGAGGGAGGGAGAGAGACAGAGAGAGAAAAACATCAGTGTGAGAGAGACACATCAATTGGTTGCCTCCTGTATGACCCTGACCAGGGCCAGGGCCAGGGCCAGGGATCGAACCTGCAACTCAGGTACATACCCTTGACTGGAATCAAACCTGTAACCCTTCGATCCTTGAGCCGACGATTTAACTGCTGAGCCAAACCGGCCAGGGCAATAATAATAATTTTTAAATGCTACTTTATGCTTTACAAAGCACTCACATATTTAGGCTTTATAAAATTCTATGAAAGAGTGAGGTTTATCATCTTCACTTTAGCAATGATTGTCTGTTTTTTTAAATTCCTTTATTAAGTCTTTATTAAACACTTCCTATATGCCAGCCACAATGCTGGAGTACCAGGGATAAGCAAAACAGACACAGATCTACTGTTTCGGAGCTTTCAGTCTAGTGGGGAAAATAGTTGTTAAATAATTTATTTATTTAATAATTTATTTATTTGGCACTGAAGTAAGTGTTGTGAAGGAAAGGAATAGGGTTCTGTGGGAACCCATGATTTAGGAAGGATTCCCTTAGGAAGTGATGAGGTGAGACTTGAAAGATGAATAGGCATTAACTAACTGGGAAGGGTACCTATGGGGTGTGGCTGTGGGCCCCCCAACCCCCATAGATATCATGGAAGAAAGAGTTCCGGTCATAAAAAAGAGCATGTGAGAAAGTCTCGTGGTGGGAGGAATTATGGCCTATCAGAGGAACTGAAAAGTGGCCAGTATGGCTGTAACTCAGAGAGCGAGATTGGCAGTGGTGACAGACAGGGATGGAGATGTAGCTAGGAGTCAAATCATGCAAAGTTGATAGGAAAAGGTCTTGGTAGCTTTTTCTTTGTCATCTACATGTATGTCCACTCACCAAAATCCAGTACCTCAGCTCACCTTGTGTGATATTTTTCCAAACCCTGTCTGTCTCGGTCATCTTCCTGATATGTAAGGAGCAGCCCTTCTTCTGCCACCCCTGCTAGAGTGTGGGGACACAGGGCTGTTGGCCTCTTTGGCTATGAAGCTTACATTTCTGTGTCCCTCCGGCAACAGAAACATCGCAGACTCCACTGCTGACATTTCCACCCTAACTAGGTCCCCACTTCGTTCCCTCATTAAGAATCAGTACCTTAAAAAAAAAGAATCAGTGCCTTTTGCAGGACAACGTCTTTTCCCTCTTGCCCATTCAACTTGGTCTTCCTGGGCACTATATGGCCTTCTTTGGAAGTGAGGCCAGATTTCTCTTTTGGGGCATCCAGTAGGAGTCTACCCCCAGATCAGCTTTCTTAGTGATAACACAGATTGTGAATGGCAGAGGCCTCACTGAAGGACTAAGCCTTTTCCTTTCCTTGTTTAGCTCTAGGATTCATTTTTGTCCCAGCCCCACCCTAACTACTATAGTGGGCTGGGTAATGTAGAAACAAATACAGATATAATAAATAATATACCCATATATTGAGCAACAACATCAAAATCACAGATAGGACCTATGCCATGTGTTGTGCTCCTCAAAAGTCCCTTACTTAGGAGGATGTCTAGTAAAAACTGTTGTTGGGCATAGAATGACTTTTCCCACCCACCCCTTCGCCTTTCTTTCTCCTTTAACTCTGAAGCAGCTGCATTCCTTAGGTCTTGCATTTGATTGCAGGTAACAGAAATCTGACTACAGTGGCTTAACCAACGAGGGGCCTATTTTTCTTACCTACATGTTTTCTTGTGAAGTAGGCAGTCTGTAATTGGTACAGCAGCTTCACCATGTCATCACTGCCTTTCCACCCTTAATGTGTGGCTTTGATTAAGGTGCAGAATGGCCTTACTTCCTGAAGCCTCATATCTATATTCTAAGCAAGATAAGAAGGACAAAGGACAAAAGGGTGTGCTAGCTAAGATATCCCTCATCTCTTTAAACAGTTGCTGTCCAGGAACTTCTTACTATATCAGGGAAACTGGGAAAATTGGCTTTTAGAATCTGGATTTATTGCTGCCTTCACAAAATTTAGGTTCATTAGTAAGGAAGAAGGAGAGTTGTGTTGGCTACAGGAACATAATTCACATTATAATTGAGACCTTTTTTTCTTTTTTCCATAGTTGGCTCACCCTAGAAGCCCAGTTCAAACTCTGCCACTTTCTACAAGCAGCTTTGATGAACAAAATTGATGCCAACTCTGCCCGACTTCGTGTGATCATCCATAAAATATCCATAAAATCACCCCACTCCTTGTTTTTAAAAATGTAGTATGTATAAATAATTACTCTAATTTATAATTCCATTTAAAGAATTACAGTATATATGGGGTCCATATATACTATGGTATAAAGTGGGTATTTGGATATTTTCTAGTTTGCATGATCAATAAGAGAATGTAATAGAAAATACAATCCCCAAGCAATGTTAATCCTGGAATTACCCAATTTAGGGTGGAGAGGTTCCTCAGATTTAATTAGATAACTAATTTGTACTCTGTAGGTACAGTTATGATCTTAAGATAATAACCTAGTTCCCATTCATCTTGGGTATTCTCAGGTATTTGAAAAGTGTTTCAGCCTGTAAAACTCATGCCTTCATTAAGTGCTACAAAATTGATCAATAAAAAAGACCCTCTAGATTTGATTTCTGTTCATTATAAACAGTTAAGAGGTAAGAGCATCCTCCATCCAAACCCAACTATTTTCCAAAAGGTTTGGAAACAAAAGAGCCAATGTGACCTTAAAAATTAGAATGTATCATTTCTAGCATCTTAGGTAGGTAGTTCTGTCTGGCTCAATGAAGTCTGAGATATTTGTTATTTTGATGTGTACTGTACACATTTATACAGCTAAATATAAATTTCATGAAGACTTCAACATGAACCTTGTGGTGTTTGTTTTTTTTAATCCTCACCTGAGGACATTTTTCCATTTTTTGTTCGGATAGAATGGGAGGGAGAGAGAGGAAGAGAGAGAGAGAGAGAAACATTGACGTGAAAGAACACATCAATTGGTTGCCACCCGCACGACCCAACCAGGGCTGGGGACAAACTGCAACCAAGGTACGTGCCCTTAGCGGGAACTGAACCCAGGTCTCTGGACCGCAGGCCGACGCTCTAACCGCTGAGCCAAACCGGCCAGGGCAAACCTTGTGTTTTTCACAGTGCCCTGTGAAAGATTCTTTGAGGTCCAAAGCAGGTTCACTAGAAGACCTGATACCCTGTCCTCAGCAGCCTGTTGACTCAATAACTATAATAATGCACACCTAATTGGAGTTTTGTTCTTCCTTGCCAGTCCAGGGTTCCCAGATTTAGTAAATATAAATACGTGACACCAATCAAATTTGAATTTTAGATAAAAATAGATAACTTTTAAGTATAAATATGTCCCATTAAACAATAAATAATTTTTTAGTATAATTATGTCCCAAATATTGCATGAGAGATATGTATACTAAAAAAAAAAAAAAAAAAATTAATTGTTTACCTGAAATTCAAATTTAACTAGGCATTTATATTTTATTTGGTGACCCCATCAGTCAGTCCCCTACAAAGTTGCCAGGTATTTTTGGGAGCCCCCAGTTTGTCAGACACATCTATTTAACAGTGGACACTATTATAGCTTCATCAAGGATCTCCGTCACTAATGTTCTAAGTATAATGGAGGAAGGGAAACTCATCAGTGTGAGACTGAATATGCAGGATTAACTTTTTAAAAATTTTTTAGAGAGAGAGGAAGGAAGAGGGAGAGAGAGAGAGAGAGAAACATCGATAAGAGAACATTGATTGGCTGCCTCCTGCATGCCCCCCACTGGGGATTTGGCCCACAACCTGGGCATGTGCCCTGACCAGGAATTGAACCAGTGACCTCTTGGTGCATGGGTCAATGCTCAACCACTGAGCCACACCAGCCGGGTGGGATTAGCCTTAATGCTGTAACCACCACTGCAGTTCCAGAAATAGGGGTAGCATCTCTTTATCAATAGGAACCGAGAGGTTTCACATCTTCACTGCATGTATTTAGCCTGAGAGGAAGAAGCTACATAGATGATATCCTTGAAATATCCCCTGGTTAACTTAGGCTAAAAAGATATTTTAGCAATTTCCCAGAAATGTCTGCATTTCCTCAGATAAATATTGATTTGAGATGCCAAATAGTGTTGTAAAAGTCACCAGACTGGAAAGCAGACCTGGGGACACTGTTTTGTTTGCATGACATCCACATTTATGCTTATAGCACATTTATAGATAAAAATTCAACAGATAATAAAGTTAAGAAACATTTGTGCTTCCAGTAAAAGTTTATTTTTAACCTGCTAGCTACATTTATATTATGTGTGAAAAAAGGGAATGATCACTGAGTATAAAGCAGTTGAGCACTTGTTCAGAATATTTTATGAGCCACTCATAATGTTTCTATTATTAATAAACCACTGTGTATTATATCAATTTAATATAAATGATTTGATCATTCCTGTGGAATAAAGGTTCATAAAAAATGTTATAGAAATCCTGTAGATAAATATTTGTAAAGCTGCTATTGCCACCGTACCAGTATTAAAATGTATTCTACCTTGCATCATTTATAATTTTTATGACAGATTTTATATTTTACCCACTTGAGAATCCTATAAATGCTATGGCTTCATTAAACTGTTGCTGATCATATGCTCCCAATGTTCATTTTGAGACTAAATGACAACCGGAGAATATAAGGTGCATCAGGTTATGTTTTTAAATAAAGAGCAATAAAAGAACCTTTGGTTTTTCTCTTTTTAAAAATGTTTTCACTAGACAGAAAAGTACATAAAACATATGTAAATTAACAAATCATAAAGCAAACACTCATCTAACCATCAAGAAAGAACATTGTAAATGTTTCTGGAAGCCGTCTCCCTCCCTTATTATAATCCTTTTCCTCTACAACTAATTACTCATATGCTTGTTACAATAAATATTTCTTGCTTTTGTCCTCTAAGCATGCATCCCTAAATGCTATGGTTTATTTTGCTTGTTTTTAAACTCTATATAAATAAAATCATACTTTATATATTCTTCTGTCTTCTTTCAATCAACATGTATTTTATTTATTTTATTGTTGAAAGTATCTCATGTCTCTCAACATTTATTTTTTAAGATTCAACCATCATTTATTTTTGATGTGTGAATATAGTTAGTCATTCTATTGTTAATGATCATTAGGATTGTTTCCAGTTTTTTGGCTATTATGAAAGTGCTAGGTTACAAAGTGTGCCTATTTTCTAGATACTTCAAACTGATTTTCCAAGTGATTGTACTAATCTATGGTCCCTTCAGCAAAGTATAAGAGTTGTTTCTTCTGTTTTCTTCAGGAGAGTCTTTTCTATTTGTTTTTTCAACATTTTGCTTACTTGGAAAATCTGTACAATGTTTGTGGTTTAATATACACTATTTTTCCTGTATTTACAAGTCAAAGAATTACTAAAATAATCTTATTTCAGCAAAGTCACTTACTAAATGCAGCAAATAATCTCCATGGTGAGGACCACATGTTTATGTGGATGAAGATGTACATGTTTTTATTTAAGTTGACTTTTGAAAGAGAAATTGGATCTGGATATGTAGAAGGGAGGGAACAAGTATATACACTTTTTAAAATAAATTTTAAAACCTACCCTTACTCCTTTCAAAATTTGAGTTAGTAAGAGTTTATTAAGAAGAATTAATGGAAGCCAAATATAGCTTAATATATTAAAAACACCAACACCACCCACCACGATTTAGGGCTCCACCTTTCCTTTGAGGATTAATGAGATATTCTCCCCCACAGTTTTATTGAGATATAACTAACTATAACATTATTGGTTTAAGGCACACAATGCAATGATTTGATATATGTATATATTGCAAAATTATTTCCACAATGAATCTAGTCATCATCCATTACCTCATATAGTTACATTTTTTTCTTGAGAACTTTTAAGATGTTCATAGCAACTTTCAAATATGTAATATAGTACTATCATCTATAGTTACCACACTATACATTACATCCCCAGAACTTTTTATCTTATAAGGGAAATTATGTACTTTCTGATCACCTTTACCTATCTCCCCACTCCCCTGCTCCCCACAATCTGTTCTCTGTTTCTACAGTTTTTTTAATTCCACATATGAAATCACACATAAATGAGATAATTCTTTTTTTTCTTTATTGATTTTAGAGAGAGAAAAAATGAGAGGGAGAGAGATAAAAACATCGATGAGGGATAACATCGATTGGCTGCCTCCTGCATGCCCCTCACTGGGGATCCGGCCCATACCGCTGGGCGAGATAATTCCTGACAAGAATTGTCTGGCTGGTGTGGCTCAGTGGTTGAGCGTCGACCCATGCACCAAGAGGTTGCCGGTTCAATTCCCAGTCAGAGCACATGCCCAGGTTATGGGCCAGATCCCCAGTGGGGAACATGCAGGAGGTGGCCAATCAATGTGCTCTCCTGTCGATATTTCTGTCTCTCTCTCCCTCTCACTTCCTCTCTCTCTAAAATCAATAAAGGAAAAAAAGAAAGAAAGAAAAAAAAAGAATTGAACACAGAGGCACACACAGCATAAGTAATTGATGTCCAATTATTTTGTCATTTGACACCCCAAGTGAAAACTCATTAAACACAAATGATCAAATTTCTATTTCTTCTTTACCTTTATTTTTGTTTTTTAAATCCTCACCCGAGGACATTTTTCCATTTTTTGTTCAGATAGAGTGGGAGGGGGAGAGAGAGAGAGAGAGAAAGAAACATCGATGTGAAAGGGACACATCGAGTGGCTGCCACCCACACGACCAACCAGGGCCGGGGACGAACTGCAACCAGGGTACATGCCCTTAGCGGGAACCGAACCCCGGTCTCTCTGGACCGCAGGCTGATGCTCTAACCGCTGAGCCAAACCGGCCAGGGCTCTATTTCTTCTTTAAAGTTGAGAGTATTTTTTTTTTTTTTTTAAAACTAACCATTCAAATTTCCAATCAACAAAATCAAAATTGAGTGAAGGCTTTCCACATTTCTTCAAGAAAGAATTTTTAAATATCGTTACAAATTAAAGAAAATGTTCATTGCAGAAAATAGAAATTTAAAAATAAATACGGATGTCCACCCAAAAACCTGCACACAGATGTTTATAGCAATTTTATTCATAATTTCCCAAACTTTGAAGCAACCAGGATGTCCTTCAGTAGGTGAATAGATGAATAAACGGTGGTACATCCAGATAATAAAATATTAGCACTAAA